AATCTCTGCAAAGCATGCAGTTGTTTAAAAGGTTATGATCTGGACAGATAGGCAATTGTTTTTCGTTTGACGATATTGTGCTTCTTATTTTTTTAAATTGATTCATTTGTAAGGAATGAGAATGTTCTAAAGGCAGTTAAATATAGAAAGGTACGAACTTTTTTTTACATTATATTATATAAATTGCTGAAATAACTGATATTGTAACTAGTGTTTTTTAGCTCACTCACCTCTAAAACATTTTATATCAATTTTTTTAATCACATTTCAACTATATTACAAGTGCAGATAACAATGTTATTGGAAAATAATTAATAAAGTAATAGTTATTCCATAAGAGTTATTTTGTCAAACAGGATGTTTTTTGTCAAATAGATAATAAAAGACAAATTTGTTTGTACATTCGAAATACTCATATCAATGCCGTTACAACGCTTTATTGTATAAGTTGGTTACTACCACGAAACGGAACTATAAACGGGACTGACTCTTGTTGCTGGATCGTGTGGGGGCTGCGTTCATTGAACGCCGCTTTTCATTGTTGATCTTGTTTATCATATTGTAGTTCATTGGTTATTTCGGCAAGATAAAATGTGAACTAAGTCAACCGTTTGTTGCCTTTGGTAAATTAAAACGACATTTATAAAAATGACAAACGTGTTGAACAAAATAACTAGGAATGAACCTATGAAAAACACACAGATGCAGTCGTCAACAGTGGCCCAGATTTTCTCGTTCTTCTGTCTTGTTTAAAATATGATAAACAAGATCGACAAGGAAAGGCGGCATTCAATGAATGCAGCCCCCACCCGACCCAGCAACAAGCGCCAGCGGCAAGGAGCCCAGGAGGACCCCAAAGAAAAACAGGACAGGGCATAAGGCAGAGTACGGGCAGGCAAACCACTACATCAGAATACAATAAAAATTAGCTAGCTTATAAAAAAAGGGGAAATTAAAACAAAAAAACAAAAAAATAAATGATTTAATATAAGGCCCATAATGTCAAAAGGCACATGGAAGGGGACATGAGACACGGGGAACGGGTGGGGGGAAATAAATAAAAACTAGGAACAAAGGGAAGATACTTACCGTAGACGAGAAACAACAAGAGGACACGAGCAAAAGTGTCACCAAAACAGTAATAAAAACAAATAGACATACATCTGAGGAACACAGAGGGGCGCCGCCTTGGAACGGTCAGCAGCATAATAATGACTACTGGGTAGTTTAAACCGGTTAATGGTGCCACCAAACTCGCTCTTAGCCCACCATGTTCCTATAAACGAGACAGTGTAAATAAAATGAATCCCCCGCCAAGTAAAATTCTAACAGTTGTTATGGTTACAAAAGGTTAAATAAGTAAAACATACCCAAATGATCATGTAGAAACATATAAAAGTAACCCATGACCATAACAAAAGTTACTCGATGTCTTAAAGGAAGACAGAGCAACAAGAAAATTACCCTACAAGGGCCCGACGAAGCAAGACAGAAGACAACCATTAAGGCAATTCAGTCCAAAGGGCTTTAAAGAACTGTCCATCATATAGTCTCCCACTTGGCCCGTCAGATTTAATCAAAAGAGGAAAGCGTAGTGTCCAACTGTAAAATGGGTTGAACACTAAGCATGCGGTATGTCTTAAAATAGTAGGGTCATAACCCCTTTTAATAAAACGTTTTATAATTTTAGTAAACACAACAGAAAAATTACAATGACCCAAGATCTTACGAAAGTTTGTAAACAACATCACCGTAAAAATCAGGCTGGCTAATCCCTTGTCGCAGAAGTGTTTTTAGATCACTATTGAATTTTGCAATTAAATCAAAGTTACGATTGTAAAATTTTGTAAAATATTACGTAATTTATAAATAGCGGTAGCCCTGTTTTAGAAGCTACCGGTAATGAAAATATTTCGCTCGTTAAAATCCTTTACGTCTCTACAAGCTCTAGCAAAATCAATTAACTGAGATATATAAACCCCGTAAGATGTTGCGTGCGGTACGTCTCCATCCAAATGAGGATAATTACTATACTCTAAAATCACAAGTCATTCTCTTTTATCATAAATTTTCGTGTGAATCGAATTGTTTTTGATAGTGTTATGAAGATCCAAAAATGATGTAGTTAAATTTCCAAGAATTCGTTTTATTAAGTTGTAGCTCCTAGTATAATATTAGACACGCATTTGCATCATAAAAAGAATTATCTAAATTAAAATGTCATCAAGATATCTGGAAGTGTTATTAAATGCTGATATAAACATCTTGTTGTGTATTTTCAAGAGAGACTTAACATAAAATCTCTTTCATAGCAATACAAAAACAAATCGGCGACCAGGGTGCACAATTAGTACCCATAGGAATTCCTATAATTTGCTTGAATAGGGTATTACCAAACCTGACATAAATATTGTCTAAAAGAAAAGAGAGTGCTCTACAAACTTCGTCACAGGTCCACATCGTATAATTGTTTAACAATACAGTTTTGTAAAGAAGGCTTTTTTGAGAGTTACATGCAAGAAATGTAACTTTTTCCCGTGCAAAAGGTTTTCTGAATAAGGGAAATTAGTTTATCATTAATTAAATTATGTGGCAGTGTAGTATAAAGGGTAGAAAAATCGTATGTACTGACAGTTGAAGCCCGATAGTTTTATTAATTTTTAATTTATCCAGAATTTCACCGGAATTCTTAATAGACCAAAATAGATGTTTGCCTGTATTTTTCGTATACTTTATCACAGTATCTAATTACATGTGTTTTAATGGCAGCCAAACAAGACGTCATAAAATAGAAAGTTTTAGTTGTTGTGCTAGATGTAGAATTAGCAATGAAATCTGGCTTTGTAAGGTTTTTAATGTAATTTAGGAATCCAATACATAATAGGAAGTTTTAGTTCTTTTTCATCGATTCGGACTTTTAGACTGGAAATATTAGTAACATGATTGTTAACAATGTCTTTTTCAGATAGCAGTAGTTTTAGAATACGCATTAGTGCTATTAAAGTTTCTTTATGTAAAACGTTAATGTAATGGATACGTCATACAATTATGATATTATTAGCCGCCTTGTCCGCTGGTACCAAAACAAATTTTGAGTGAAAAGCTAGAATATCCTTTTTCAGATGTCTTAAAGTAAGTCTCGGTTTAGGTGGAAGAAGATGTTCATTTCCACGATAAAAATTAATACGTGAATCAATAATTTTTGAAAATGTTACGTTTCCAAGTAGCTAGAGCATTACTATCAGCATTTTCACGGCGACACCATTTACTTGAAAAAATCCTCAATTGTTTCAGCAATCTGACAACGACAAGCATTAAAATTCAATTTCTGAGGGAATTCTGTATTTAGGTCCTTTTAAAGAATAAATTACGAATTCTTTTGTCTGCAATAATATCAAAATTACCAGTGATAATATGGCCAAAATCTGAATTACAGAAATTAGAAGTATTGCAGTCTCAAGTAGTTGGAGTATTAGACTGAATGTCTAAGTCAGAGACCACTTTGTTGTAATTAAATATGATATTTCTAACAGGTTTCTTATATTTATAGCAAATAATAGGTATCTCAGAGTTTTTGAAGTATAAAGGAACTGAATCAGTGACACGTTTAAATTCGTTTGTTACATTTCTTTCCTCATAAGAATGTAAAGAAAATAAATTTTTATTATTTTTTAATTTTTAATGTTTAGAAATTGTGTAACAATAATTTTTACTAATACACCTCCTGTATTGTACGTACATGTAGCAGGTCTGTCTTTTTCGGAGAACCTCCATGGTCTGAGAGAATTCTGGATAAAGAAGGATCATATTTCACAGATCATAACCGTATAAATGGGTTAGTGTTTTGTTTTCTAAATAAAGCAAGGCTTATTGTATGTTTATGACTGGTAGATATCATCACTTGCTTAAAGAATAAAAGAAAAAACTTCTCAAGTAGGCATACAGTATACTTAAAACTTAAAACGTAAGGACAGTTTAATTATTGTTACTCTTGGTTTATTTTTGTTATAGTTAGATTAAGTTGACAATTTCAGATCATCACAGTATTTGTTCGGGGTAATAGAATAAATAACCTATGGGTTCGTGAATAACAGTAAAAATATCATCCCTTGAATTAAAATACTACGCCTCGGGTAACAGTAATTTCCTCGGGACGATATTTTTATTGTTACCCACAAACCATGTGTTACAATATTAAAAATTGCATGGAATGTGTAAAGATTATACAAAATCTTAAAAACCAGGCGCGAGTCAAAGATTTCTGTACCACACTTTTGACAAGGGATAATGCTAAAATAGTACCATCAACTGACCTATACATGCATGTTTATGAAAAAAAAATCATATTTGCGAGAACCTCCATGGTCTGAACTTCGAGGAATATACTTAATAAGGAATATTTCCGTCGAATATTCCTTTTACATAAGATCAGGGGAAAACACAAGTTTACATTAATTCTGTATAAAGATAATCACACTTTTTATTATAAAACCATTAATAACAAAATAAGCAATACAGTTCAAAGTAATACATAAAATAAATCATCAAAATCATTGTCTAACATGTAACTTTAGTCATTCTTTGTTAAACAAATATAAATAATTATCATATATGATTTTAAATTCTTGACAAATTAAACACTATGATATCTTAAAATCTGGAAACAAGCTTTTTAGCGGTTTGTTCCTTCAACAATAATGGTCAAGGAAAGCAAAGAGAAGTTAACATACACTTTATGTATATATTGAGAAAAGGAAAATGAAATACTTAAATTTAAAATAAATTTACCGGCGAGCAAAGACCACGATCTTATATAGAGACTTTCTTATCTAGATTTAATAAAACTTTCACATAGTGGCCAGAAATGTCCTACTTAGACCTTAATTCATTTGACAAATTAGGGGGTGACAAATGAAATACTTGAATTTAAAATAAATTTACCGGAGAGCAAAGACCACGATTTTATATACAGACTTTCTTATCTTGATATAATACTTAGACCTTAATTCATTTGACAAATTAGGGGGTGATCAAATGATTTTGTTACAGCTTTAGAACCAACCTTACTGTATAAAGGATTTGTTTTTGTTTGTTTGGATTTTTACGGCACGTCAACACATAACTGGCCATATCGTGTCGAATGCTTTAATAAGCTTAAAATGTTATGTAAAATTTTGTAAATGACAATAAGAATAAGCCAATAAGATTCTAGAATACAATTTTATCTCTTTCAAATAATCAATTATGTCTTTGATGGAATTGTATTAAAGAGTTCTTTGAGTGAGTTTACACAATAAAATCTATGTGAAAAATCATGACTTTCAAGACGAAAATGCTTGACAGTAAAATTTTCATTACAAGCTACACAGAAAGGGGCATTATCATTCGTGATGAGATAAGAGTGGGTAATATTAGTGTGTCCTATTCGGCATCGAAGAAGAACTGTTTAATCATGGCGGTTTAGCAGACATAGAGATGGTAACCCATCAAGAGATGGGTTTATATCGTGAAGTTTATTAAAAAAAAGGCATTGTCCCAATTTGCTTTTCATTCAGATGATACGAGTTTATTTATAGCCGATCTGAAATCAGAAGCAGGAAACAATAAGTCAGTTTTTTTAAAATTTAATGATTGTTTAGCTAAAACATCTAATTCTTCATTGCCTCCTATATCTACATGACTTCCAATATAAGTGGTATGTACGGTTAAATTCTAATTTATATTAGTAACGTGTGGTTGAGGGGATGACGCATTAGAATCGCAGCAACTGTTGTTAAAGGCGACCAGATGGGTTCGAATTACTGAGTATAGGTATCACTTAGCTCCGGCAGGCGTGGTAGGTTTGTCCCAAAGTCCGTAGCACCCGAGGTTAGGCAAAATCATATTTCAAGTGTCGGCGTCATATGATTAAAACTGATTGGTGCCCCCCACCCCCGTAAAATTAAGCCTAAAAATATAGTATGCTTTCTTCAAGAACAATATTAAATCAGTCAGTTTTCATCTACTGTTTGTCTTACATATTGAAAAGAAAATAACAGGGAGCAAAATTTTGCATAAGTAACTTATCACAAAACACCATTTGTCAATTGTATTGCTAAGATCTTGCCACGTGATGTCGTGTTTTTCATTTGGTCTTTTAAAGTCAATAGATTGTTCAATGTTATTCTGTAACTCGATTAATGTTTCACTACCAGAGTCTTTGTCCTGTGCATCTATAGACTCATCCTCGGGCTTAGTATGGACTTTCTCACATGTCAATATAGTTAAAAGCTTTCGGGTCAGAAGAACAAATTTCCTAAAGAAAAACGGTATGTGTCCCCTATTTTTCATCGCATTTATCTTTGTATTAATGATGACTACAAAAACTATCGAGGCGTCTAACATATAACAAATGAAAATCATAACCGATATAAGAGGCATGGGCTGAGAGTTGTGTGGCAAATGCTCACTTACAATGGTCATATATACTGAAATGGCAAGTAGCATCGTAATTGAATATCCAACCCGCTCTCCAGATTTCTTCGGCAAAATAAATACCACTGGTGTAAGTAATGCGAGAACAATGATTGGCATAAATATATTAATCAGTAGAAACAATGGTCTTCTTTCAAACATAAGCTTTATCGTCATGATGCCGTAATTAGACAAAACAGTGCGATTGATTAACATCCAGGAGCCATGACTTTTGTCACCAATTAAATTTTCATCTTTAATGCGAGTTTCAATCCTGAATGGAAATTTAAGATGTCCGACGATAAACATTTTAATTAGGCACGTCTGTATATCAAATGGATAGTAGGTCATGTCAAGGTCGCAAGTGGTGCGAGTTGTCATCAGCTCCTGAAAATATGCCTTTCCTTCGTTGCTGTATATAACAGTTTCCTGAAAATGTAAAACGTAATAATAATTGAAATAAAACTGAAAGAAAGCCCAAAACGATACCTCATTCTTTATCAGTTATACAAAATGTAGCAATGTTACCAATCTGCCTCTGTATGATTTTAAGAAGATTTAAAGCCTTTTTGATACAGTAACTAAGTTCCAAGCTCATATAAATTTAGAAATGTCGGGGTCTCAACCGATGTGCAACTGTTCGTTATAATATTTTTTCAAAATAGTTCATTCATTAGACACTTACAGAACTATCAGTTATTGTTTGACAAACTATTGACCATTTAAGCACATTGAAAATAAGAAGGGGTAACCGTTTTCATCAAGATGGGTTATGTTTAACATTCATTTTGATCTGCTTATGAAACACGCATATCTGTTTCAAAACAGGCACAATCAAACCGAGTTTGCATTATTTACAATATTGCCGTTTTGACTTTCTTTTTGAGTCTTATTTCTCTTTATTTTACACACTTGCTAGTAAAATTGAAGAAAATAAAAAAATAAATAAAATCGAGAGAAAATAGGAATCCAAAAAGACCGTAAAAACGGCAATTGGAACTGTTAAAATGTTGTAGACTCGGTCTGATTTAGCCTATTCATTGTCAGTACTCTCAAGCCCAAACTACCGTCTACGACCCCTAGTACCGGCTTCCCTAGTTAATATTATCATAACACTTTGAATGTATCTTTGACTCGCTTCTTTTCATAAGATTCATATATCATTTCTGTGTATACCAACAACTCTATACTATACACACTTTACACTTACCAATACAAATTATATATAATATTATCATGAAATATTTGCATTTCCTTCTCTCAGTTATATATTTCGCATATTTCCATTTAATGTAATGACATGAATAAGATACATGTTAAAGGTAAACATGTGCAATATCGTACATATGTTTGCCCCCATTATGGCGAGGGGTGAATTTAGGTTTGCCCTTGTCCGTCTTTACGCGCGTACGTTCTCGTGTTGTCACATGTACATCTAAAAGTATTTATGACTTCATGTCAAATTCATTTTTGAAAACGCACGACACAAAATATAGAGCAAGTGCGATCCCTCTAAAGCATTAATCACAACATAATTTTATGAAAATTGCAGACACTATTTGATTGAGTCACATTGAAGGTTCCATGATAATCGCCGTATGAACACATGTTTCGAAATTCAAAATTTCATCATAACCATTCTGCTTAAGCCGCTGCTAAGGGGCGTTGTCGGTAAAGGAAGAGAGTTATAAAGAATCCCTTAAGAACGCCAAAATCAACAGATTGTAAATGTTGCTGATTAAGCCTGTGCATTGACGGAAATGGACAATGAAAGTTACCGTCCACGCCCCCTAGCACCGGCTTAAGCAAAATTCAACATTAAATCATGGTAATGATGAAGTTTACTTGCACCTTTCTTGGTAATTGTGAGGTAACTTACACAATTTTGCCGTTTTGGACGGATTCGATTTTTTTCATGTAGATACTCTCTCAATTCAAAAGCAATGGTCTTGGCAAATTGCTGCATTTCGTTTCATATTTGACTCCTTTATTCGCATAGAATAATGTTTAGTTTTTTTGTTGTCTTTTTTTTTTGGCTTCCCTTTTAAGAAGGAATAAGGGCTATCCAGTGTCAAGTGTAATTAACTGTAATTAATGCTTTTAAATCGCTGCTATCTAAAATATGAAATATGATAAAAAAAATCAACAAGGAAAAGCGGCGTTCAATAAACGCAACCCCCATACGACCCAGCAACAAGAACCAGTGTTAAGAGACTTAAAAGAGATAGAAGGCATGTGTGTTAACCAAACTTATATCATATTAAATTTTTATAAATTAACATAAAATACTCACATAGGAACGGTCAACATTCTGGCTTTTGCTAATTTCGGAATGTGGATTCGAAACACGAAGGACGGGAGTCCATACTTCACTCCAAGGTAACATTACATATTCTACGTCCGTGTCATTTTTATCCCATTTAATGCTTTCGTCTTTCCACTAGACATAATAAAAGGTGAATTATTGAAATAAACGTAAATAATCATATGAGCCGAGTCATGACAAAACCAATATAATGGGTTTGCGACCAGCATGGATCCAGACCAGCCTGCGCATCCGCGCAGTCTGATCAGGATCCATGCTATTTGCTTACACACCCTATTACAAGTAGAGAAACTGACAGCGAACAGCATGGATCCTGATCAGACTGCGCGGAAGTTTGGTCTGGATCCATGCTGGTCGCAATTTTGTCATGGCGCGGCTCTTATATTAATTCTTGTACTGGTTCAAAATGATTTTTAATATATAATATTGAGACATTCCTGAAATCAAAAATGTTCTTATCTGTTATAAATATGTAAAAAACACATGTGTTTTTCTTTAATGTTTACAAACAATTTGGACAAAATTCACTGCAAGTTCCATGTAACATGTATTGGTTACATTAATAAATAAAGGAAAGTTACGGGATGTTATTTATGACCTGAGTAAGATCCATTTAAGTTTAATGATATCATAATTTCATAAAAATGAATTAAAAATTTGTAACGAAATACATACGGAAAAGCCTAGCCAAAAGACATAGGATAACATTTCTTCTAGTTCGTCAATATTTCCGAGTGTATCAAGATAAGTTACAATTGAGATATTGAATGGCATCTTCCTCGACGGTATAATATGTTTACTATAGTTCATCAACAGGTTAACAGACAATTTTTGGACATCTTGTATCTTCGGAAGATCATATTCTTCTTCCGCTTTTGATATAGGACAAAGCAGAAGTAACGTCCATATAAAAGTCATACATAGCACAACCATATATCCTGAAAAATACAAAATATGCCTTATGAAATATCTGTTTAACGTAGCCAATGTGATTGTTTGTTGATAACTGGTAATGCGAATGCCCAACATCTCACTTACAGGTTTTGTTGAGTTCGATGACTTTTTGTCGCAGTTCTTAGATTTTGTTTGTGTTTTATCATGACTGAAATAGAAACGCAAATCATGATTTTCCCTATGCAATAAAATCTCGCGGCTATATTATACATTCGTCAACAAAAGGAAATTTTCGTTCAAATCTCTATACTTGTTTTCTTATGCTTTTACAGTTTGGATAAAAGGGATATGGGAAGGGTTTTAATACAAAGCGAAATCATCGCAAATTGTCGTGATTCTTTTGAAATGAACCGGGCTTTGCCGGGGCTCTACCGGGATCAACCATAGCTCCATCGTCATCTTCCAGGGTTCTGCCGGCATTCACCTGGGCTCTGCCGTAGCTCTACCGGCTATATCATGCCCTGGATCACCCCGGACGTCTATCGGGGCTCTGCCGGGATGTAGGTGAGGCTGTAACTTTATACTTGTATATTGTAATCTGTGTCATTCTAAATAAAGTATATGTTCTGTTCTGTTCTGACAAGCGTTTAAACGCATCTTTCCCAAACCGGGCTAACAATGCCTTTCAATATTGATTATCAATTTAATTTTTGATGTATGATCGTGCCATGCAAAATTTGTTTAAGACACGGTTCAATTAACACAATCACATTATTTGAAAATATCTGTATATCTCAATCATTGAATATGCGAATCCAGTCTAAACTACTGTATTACACCTCTTTCATGTAACCTTATAATCGTGATAAACATGCATGGTATTTAAATTCTTACCTCTGCGTACAAAGAGTGTCCCATTTCGCTTCATCGAATTTACAATATACAAGGTTATTTCACCCTTTAACTGGTTTACCTAGAGGCCCATCACGGATGTGATCTATCACAAATTCACCAGCTAGCAGCTTTTGTTACAAGTATTCACCAACACATAGCATAAACAATATTTTGAATAGATAGGCAAATGTTGGAAAATGTTCGTATGAAGAAGGGATTTTATGTATATAATAGGCTTGTATATAAACATCACATATGTTTATATGACATAACTGAGATCAAAGTTGACTTCTAATTTAAAATCTTACTTTTTTTTAATCGCCAGATATGTACTTAATTCTAAAAACAGAATACAAGCAGTTCTGTTAATTCGGCATGAGTATCGTGGTATATCATCTCCGTTATCAAGTGCAGTATGTCAAAAAAATCATGAACAAATATCGTGATCTGGAGCACGGTTCCCAAAATATAAAAATGTTTATTCGGACTGCACTGGTAAAGACAACTTTTCACACTCGTATTTCTCTTTACATGTAACGGATAGGTACTGCTCTTTATGTCTGAACTCCTAATTTTAAGACAGAACAAAATATTATACTGTAAGATTTGTTTTAATTTTTCAGAAAACGAAAAAATATCATGTTTTTTGGAAATTCAACAAAAAAACTCATCGATGAGGTTTCCAAAAATCATCTTAATTCTTGCTTAGGCACCATATGACCTTAATTATGTTGGTAAGCCAAACAAAATAAACTAATCGAATGTATCAATAATAAAACATTTCTATAAATGTTACAATTAGTGCATTTTGTTCATGTTCTAAAATGTTGAGAATGAATTAAAGATATTTTAAGCGTCGGAATAAATGCGACATTTTTCTGAAGAAGAAAAAACATTTAAAGTTTGTTAGATGCGGAGCAGTGTCTAATTTGAAATAAAGTAAAACCTCGTAAATAAAGGGGAATATTGTCTTTCATACAAATCAACTAATTAAGTCAGTATTACTTGATTAATAGCCAGCAAGCAAAAGATGGTGAAGCTTAATTTGCAACGTGTACCGTTTTAAAACCTAAATCTAATAACCAAGAAAAGACAGTTCATGCATTGTTTGAGAATTAAAAGAGCTCCATAACACAGGTCAGCTTGGTAAATTGCTTAGTCTATGAGACAGAAATGAGTCTACATGTTTTTGTTGTTACAATATAGTCACTTTGTACAATCGAGAGATACGTGAACAAATTATTTGTAATACTTTGCACACAAATTAGTATAGACCTGCATAAAAAAGTAAAAAATTCTTTCAAGCCCATTTATGTAAAAAAAAAATCGTTCAGTCCATTATTTTTTAATGTTACTGAATTACATACGTTTCATTTTAAATCCACTAATTCTATCCTCAAACTGTAAGATGCTCATGAGATCCAATCTGTAACGCACACACCAGTTCCTTTATATCTTACTTACACCTTTACATCTAAGATCATCGTAATTTTATGAATACACTAAGTCTTGCTGAAATAAGATACAACTCCATTACATCTTCAATAGAAGATATTGTGCAAGATTTACTCTATATGCGCATAATTTAAATTGGCCTATCTAGTTTACCTGACGAATGTTTTATACCACGGAAGACACGGTATATTATTTGAAATCATAAAACAGGTTTACAAAAAATTTATTCAAAATATTGAAACTATAGACGTGTGAGAAAATCACTTTTACGACTTTACACATAAAGAATTTGTTAATGGTAACATTTATATATTTACAATTTCTCTTAAGTCCACGATGTATAATATATAAATGTCTTGTAATTTGCATGTAATTTTGATGATTTTAATGCTTGAAAGGGATCACGTTTTATCTAGATGTTTTTTACGTTGAGTGCGTTTACTACACAGTTACTACGTCTTCAGGTGGGTGCATTTACTACATTGTTACTTCATCTTACAATGGAGTGCGATTCCAACAATGAACTTCACCTTACTGTTGGATACGTTCACAACACCGTTGCCACTTCCTTCGGCGGAGAGGTTAACTACAATGTTACTCTTTGTGTTTCTTGATGCATTCGCTAAAATGTTACTACGTTGTGTATTTGGGTGCATTAACTTAAATGTTACTACATTGTACAGTTGGATGCATTCACTAAAATGTTTCTACGTCGTACAGTTTGGGGCATTTACTAAAATGTTACTTCGTTGTTCAGTTGGGCGCGTTCACTAAAATGTTTCTACGTCGTGCAGTTGTGCGCGTTCACTAAAATGTTTCTACGTCGTACAGTTTGGGGCATTTACTAAAATGTTTCTACGTCGCACAGTTTGGGGCATTTACTAAAATAATACTACGCCATACAGTTGGGTGCGTTCACTAAAATGTTAATACGTTGTACAGTTGGGTGCATTCATTAAAATATTTCTACGTCGCACAGTTGGGTGCATTCACTAAAATAATTCTACGTCTTACAGTTAAGTGCATTCACTAAAATAATCCTACGTTATACAGTTGGGTGCGTTCACTAAAATGTTATTTCTTCTATCGATGGGGTCCATTCACTCATTTGTTTTTATATGATTTAATATTTTAAGTTTTTGGACAGTTGAGTTGACTTAACAGTTGTTGATAAAAGAAGTCAAAATATACAGGTGCGACGGACACGTTCACACACATAAACATAGCGACTCTTTACATATGCATATGTCGCACAATATAAAATATATTGGGAAATCGCTGACAAAATATACATAGAGGGGAAAAAGCAGACGATATTGCTAGGTAGTAATTTCAACTTACAACTTAAATTGCTGTTAAAGTGGACGTTAAGAAAACTGTCATAAATTTGAAAGTCTGCATCCTACCATGCATATCATAAAGTTATTGTAACTTATAAAAGGTATTTTAAATTCAGTATCTTTATAGATTTGTAAAAAAAAATCTTTTTTGCTATAAATACAGTCAACTTATTAAAGTTTCGACGTGCCACTTGTGTATCTGATTTTATCATGCACGTAACACTTGTATATTTAATTAAATCATACACAAGGCACTTGTATATTTAATTTAAACATACACACGGCACTTGTATATGTAATTAATTATAATAAATTAAAAGTGTGCATTCTACCTTGAATATAATGAAGTTCCAATATCGTAAAAAGGGTATCTCAATTCTGTATATTAATATATTGAATCCAGTAAATAAATAAATTAATAATAATAATGATGATGACGTAATTCCCTGTCAACTGATTCAAGTATCCAAGTGCAACTTAAGTATTTGCACTGGCATTTATATATTTAATTTAGTCATACACATTGCACTTATATATTTGATAGTGTATATCGGAAGCGCGGATAATATATAATACATACAGTGAGAAAGCTGGGGGAAAACTCGTTATTATGTTATAAAGTGGGCTATCATCAATTAAAAGGTGTGCACGTGTATAATTACGTTCTTATATTTGTATTTTAATCTTAATTTGTATAGATCTTGAAAGCCATTTTCATAGTTTTCTTTAGGAAGTTTACTATAAAGACACTAGAATATTGCTGAACCGAGGAGTTTGCATTGAATAAATTTCAGACTTAAAAAGTATTTTTCTATTTAGTTTTGACAACAAAACAAGTCTCTAAGGGTAAGGCCAGGTGAATAGAAAGGTTGGGGGAGCATAATGACTTTTATCTGTTTCAGAAAATCTTGCACTAAAGAAGCATTGTGCCATGACGTATTGTTAGGTTTTGGAAACAGCAACCTCAAAGATGGGTCTCTGAGTTGTAAAGAAAAATTAATACATTTCTTTCTCCTATTAACAATGCATGGCCTTTTTTGTCATATTTTGTAACCCAAATCTTGTTTTTGTGTTTTCGGTTTGGCTCATAAAAATGAAGACATGTTTGCTAAAGACCGTGCATTGTAATTTGGTTCTATTTAAGCAACAACTGAGCGCACTGCACGCGATCCTTTAACTGCTCATCGGTCAGAAAATTAGTAGTGCAGATCTTTCTCATTTTCAAATCACGCTTGAGAACGGTAGGAGCTACTCCAAATTAAATACATACGATATTGGCCATTTGCATTGTGGTGTATCTTGCCTCGGTATCAAGTATTTCTTTCACTTTGGCAATCATTTTGGCAGACGTTGCTGTATTAGGCTGACGGCAAGGTGCATCTTCAGTCGATATAAACCAACATTTGAATTTATTTACCTACGCATACAGTATTCGAATAGACAATGTAGAGTGACCTATAAACACAGATTTTAAATGATTTTCAATGTAAAGTTAAAATGTATATTTACACGATTACCTTCATTTGTGTGTGTGTTGGTGCGTGTGTTGGTGCGTGCGTTGGTGCGTACGTGCGTGCGTGCGTGCGTACGTGCGTGCGTGTGTGTGTTTTCACAATATTGAACAACAAAAAAACGTTGTATATGCATTTATATTTACATACTTCTCTTCTTGATCAATCTAATATTCATAATGGTAGGAAAAAGTGGTTTCTATGTCTTTGGTTTACTGCACGGTGTCGCCTTTAATTATCTATATTTGACACGAGATTTTGTTTAATGATTCGTCCTCAACAATTCACCATACATTCATTTCATGTATTAATCATATGTTATAACTTTAAGTCGCATAACATGGTATTAACTTTAAGCCTAAACATCAGATGGGAGCAACCTTGACTTTTTATCTATTAATATTTTATTATGCTATCTTAACGCGGTGATATCTACCGACTTTGAAATATAAGTTTCACAAAAATTCAAATGTACCGAAGCTGAAGAATTTATGTATACTCTACATATTTATCTTTCAAGACTTTGTCCATTTTTGAGATAATCAATTCCGGTCTATATAAAAAAGTAACAGTTTTAAACAAATCAGAATGAATTTAAAACGAAATTGGTGGACAATATTGAGCACGGAAGTAAATCCTGATAAATGAAATGAATGTGTCACAATGAATCAGTAAATTCCCTGATGTTTCTTAACTCCAATTTCGGATAACTCTTATTACTTTATTTTTTAGAACATTCTCATCCTGATTTATTGGTTGCGCTAGGGAACCTGAGTAATTTATGGCAATTTTAGTTTTTTATGTGACAAAACAAATACCTTCTTTCTCAACAATTAAACAAGATTTATTCTGCATTAATTTTCGAGTTCTTTAAATCGAGAAGAATGAAAGTAGCCTGGCGTTAGTTGAGTTAAGACATGAAACTTTTTTATGAAAAGGATACTCTTTTATCAGAATTATATATCCTGTTTATTCATTCATGCAACCGGAAAATACCGAAGCATGTTCCCTAACTTTACCAGAAGTCAATGTAAAAGAAATAGCATACTATTTTGCATTTACATGTATTACATGTTACATGTATGATACATAGATAGCTTGGCTTGCCATTTATGAAGTTATTTCGGTCTCGGCGGTGTTTATGCCGATTTTCATATAAGGCTGTTGTATTTTGCACCGTACTGTCACTAATGTATAACAAAATTTTAAAAAAAGATAATGACATTGAGGAAAATTGTTTCACTTCAGTGTTAAATAATTATTTTATCAATTTTTCAACAGTTGAAAATAATGTGTCGGACTGGATTGTATTGTTTTATGTCAGTGCTGCTCGAGGGAGGAAAAAGAACAGCTGCATGTCCATAACCAGTGTTTATTGGTTGTTTTACACCGGTTTTCTTTCTTCTATGTGTTCAGTGGCAAAATCAGGAGGTCTGTGAGGTAAGTAACAGGTGTTTATCGGCTTAATAGCACTGTTTCGGAGTTTGATGCTAGGATTTGTTGGTTATTGTTTCGCATTTATAAATATAATTTTCAAAGTAGCCTATATCTGAATGCGGATGAAAAGAATTATATCTTAAATAAGTAGAAATATCGTCAGATATACACGCCCCTGTATGTAAAATGTGCAGTTTTAGGAGAAGCACATGCATATGTGCACATATCCTTTTAAAAATATAACGTTATTTCGAAGACGTTTACAGAAGTATTTTTAATAAGAACACGGTAACGTTATGATTTGATGACCTCAATAATGAGAGTTAAAACCCCTAAAAGCATGCAATAAACAGAACAAAAATTGTTTTGTATGTAAGATTTTATTTAAGACAAGCTTTAATACATGTATTTTCACTCGAAGCTACGTCACTCGTCAAAATAATACATTTGGTGTTTACTCTGTGAAATATATTTTGATCTTAATGCATAACAAACAAATATCCTCTGTATAGTTACTATATCCCTTATTAATGAAGACTTATCGAGTTCTTTGTTTTATTGTTAATAACAATGAACTTCGTCTTTGCTTTGTCTTTGTGCCTGTTTATGTTTTTATTCGGTTGAATCCCGCACTTCCTAGTTGATTTATGTTCCCATATTCTTTAAGGTTCACTGACATGCTATCGTTGTTGTCTTAAGGATAGAGGTTAATATAAATGCTTGATCATTAGTTAATAGTTTTAATTTTTTGTCGCATATTGTTTTAGTAAAATAAACAACACATTGTTGTATGCTTAGAAATCAAAGTGTGTCTTTAGTGCTTCAATTGTCAGTGCGCTATTCTTCGTATGTTTTACGTCGCTTATTCTTTACCATTTTAACTGATGGTGCTTAGTGACACTTCATCATTTATACACTAACACAGGAAAATGAAATAATCTTTCAAAGATTGCTAATATTTGCAGGGGAAGCTGATTAAGCTAGTCTTATGAAGTGTTTGAATGCATCAGGAAAATATTAGGTTGCATGTCATTTTTACAACCACAAGGAAGCAAAACAAAAAAAATGATACAATAACAAATAGGAAACAAAGTTGCATGTGTATCAGAGCTGATAAAACTTCAAACATGAATCATATGTTGATAATTTAGGAAGATTGTTTTCTACTTATCTTTTGCTTGATAATACATTATAAGACAGCTTAAAATTGTGATAAAAATGTGACAAAAAACGTTATAAATTTAAAAGAGAGCTCTACACTAAAGAATTATCCTTGAAACCAAACGAGTTCCAGAAAACTGTTTTCTCTTTAGCATGTGTGTTGCCCATCTGAAAAAAAGACAAATAAAGTCATTGAACATATATGTTTTAAACAGAATTTGAAAACCAAAGATCAATAAGGAAAGGAGGCATTCAATAAACGCTCCCGCTTACAAAACATGAAAACAATATCAACAAGGAAGAGTTACATTCAATGAACGCTTCGCCACCGGAAATAAGCACAACAGTGCAGCAAATAATAAATAAAGCAGTTCATTAAAAGTCATGCACGATACCAAATAGAAGGCATGATTTTCCGCAAAATAAAACAACAATTGTATACAGTGTATTTCAGTTACATGCATATTTGCAAGTAAAAACATTTAAATTCGTCGAAACATAAAGAAAAAAGGCCGTTTTTCATTAAAAAATTCTATTGAAAATAAAATATGAAAATAATACAAAATCAACAAAGAAGTGCGGCATTCAATTAACCCACCCCAAACACAGGACTATCAGCAACTGTTTAATTCCAATGATCATTTCTAGTTCTAGTTTTACTTTATAACTAAGTTAATTTTCACTTAATGTTATTTCAGGCAAAATGAGACACATTTAAAACCCCTAAAACTAATGATTATGTCATGTAAGTGTCATAAGGTACACAGTACTTACACAAATTCACGTGTGTATTTTTCAAAATTTCATACCATAACTAACATAGAGAAAACGGAATCCCAAACACACATAAAACCACCAAACTGAAGTGTTGCAGGCTTGGTGTGGCCTGATACGGACGGTATTGGAAAGTGCAAGCTACTGCTCACCTTCCCCAATATTCAACCCCACCCTACCCGTACCGGCTAAAGCATGTTTCAACATAAGAATTTGATAACTGTAAAATTGGCAATTAGTAAGAAACATAGAAGTCTAATTTAAATTTAAACAACTGTTATGCAAATGCACCTGTCTTTCCAGAATGAGTTAGTTTTCATTGTGAAGGTCCTTTATTTTATTTATTTCTATTATTGAACACAACATAATTTTAAAAAAATGAACTAAATGTTAAAAACAGGATCAATAAGGAAGGGCGGAATTCAATAAACACAACTCAGCAACACGGGACCACCGGCAAGGAGCCTAGCAGAACACCAAACAAGACATTTGTTCTAAACAAACACATGATTTTTTATTTCTTATTCTTTATTTATAGAGTTGAAAGTAGTGACATATACATTTTGTATACAAAATGTTTATCATTCTTACCCTCTGAACACTTGATTTACAGAAACTAGGTACATTAAACACCTTCTCGTCTTTGATACCAGGTGTTATATTCTGATATGAATACGTCACCATTTCAAAGTAGTTGTTCCCTAGAATGATAGAGAAAAAAAACTTTTTTAACTTGTATAATATCTGTTAGTATCATATCTAATACATTTAACAAAGTAGAAACATTGAAACATCCTAGTAAGATATGTTTTGTGCTTATAATGATATTGTACCTTCAAGTGCATTACATAAGATAATGTTAGTATAAAACTTACGGTTCATGAAATAGATATCCACAACAGGCACGCAATCATCAGTAATTGTCCGTATTTGTTGACCTATGTTTCCCTTCTTCACTGGTGAAAACACGTAGTCAGTAAAGGTCATCTTCTCTTTCAGTCCAATTTTGTAACTCTTCATACGTTTAGCTCTGTCTTTTATATAAAAAAAATAATACATTGTATTTGACTTTGATGACTTCAACACGAGACATGCTCAAACACTTCCAAACCGACCAAATTATAATCATAAGATAATTGTTGTCCCTGTTAAAGAAACAACGCTACCTACAGTCACTTTATTAAGCAAAAGTTTTTTTTCTAATAAGAGAATTATGTGTACTTAACCTCAGTTTGTCAAACACACACAAAAACAATCATAAGGATCTGAAATTGATTAATTATTGTTCTTATGACATGAAGGAATCAAACAACAATAAAGTTTTGCAGAAAGAAATAAGACTAGATTTCACAATTGCTAAGTAAGGCAATGAAAGTCAATAAATGAAAAATAATGATATGATGTCAATGGCAGATATGGAACGATGACAATTACAAGAATAATGATGAAAATTTTCTTTTAGATAAAATAGGAAAAATATTACCAGGGACACAAAACTCGCTGTCTGACAATGGCGAAAGTTTTTGCACCTGGCAGGTTGAATTTTTGATGAAATAGCCAACTCCCTGTAAAACATGAAACTATTTTACACTGTTTATTTTGTATATTCATTAAATGTCTTTTACGTTTATATTTTCAGTTTGAAAAGCAATGACAATACTATAGATTTACCTTAGACATGAAAAATTAAACATAAACATTTTGACACTTTCAAACAAATTAAAATAAGATAACACACAAAAAATAGACGTAACACTTTAACGTTAGATAATTATGCAAACCTTTCCGAAGAAGAGTAATTGTAAATAACCAGTGGCAGGAATATATTCACGTATTCTCTTATTTGTCCAGTCGAACGAACCATCCATATTTATCTGTTAAATATATTAACAGCAAGCAAAAAGTAGACTTAGATCATATTTTTGTCTATTTTGTAAAGGAAGACAAAATGTTATTTTGAAAAAAATCAATGAACTTTTAAGTTCACCATTTCAATCATATGTAAAGGAATTCAATGCAATCTTTGCTTTTGATTAATATTAAGATTTTTTGTGTAATGACAATAAATTGGGGTAAAAATTAATGCATCTTGTAAGAATTATATTAAAAGGTTGAAAGAGAAATTTATTTTTTCTGATTCTATTTAAAATGCAAATAACAAGATAGAAAATTATGTTTGATCTATTGATTACCTCAGTAAATAAGTCAGAACCAGTCGCTCTTGAATAAAGCATACTTAGTTGTCCTTCAAGCTGTTTTGGAAAACAGCAAACATCTGCATGACATGATGGCCACATAACAAACAGTATGATAACTAGCAATGAGTCACGGACTGGAACGATTATTCCCATGATTGTTTCCTGCAATAAGTCTTATACGAGTAGACCATTGTTTGTCAAGTCTAAAGTGTTATAGGTGAAATCGTCACAAAATTATAATACGTATTTGTTAAATTAACTTGCCATATATACGATATTATGTTGTTGTATTAAATATTGTTATAAAGAAAGCAAGCATATGAGTATTTGCGAATATTAAATACTATTGACTTTATTATTTCATGATTTCTTTCCATTACTTAATTACGATCATCTTTGTCTTTTAAAGTTTTTCTTTCTTCTTGTTTGCCATTTCATGTAATTTTGCCATATTTTGTTGAATTAAATGTGCTTTGAATGGTACATGAACATGTCCACATGTTCAAATGTGAAGACAATATATCAATATATCTATCTTTGTTAAGTACCTTTTTACATACAATGTTAACGTTTGTGCAGAAAGTATTACATACATTTTCCGTTTATTAATCGATTGCTCTGCTTTGTTATACAAATGACTCTTTATTTTATACTTTTGCCAGAAAAACAAAGTGCAATGTACAATACCTATCCATTATCAAGAGTACAGTATTAGAAAAGGTTTCGGTGGCAAGTTAACGATCAAAACGAATGTAGAACATATTCGTTGATAACGATATATGAAAGCTGAGTCCGTACTCGGTGTTTAATTATTCTGACATAATGTTAAATGTAATATGTCAGTAAATTCTTTGTGAAATAATGAATTTTCCTATAAAACAAAACCGTCAATTTTATATAGCAGTGAAACAATGTCCATAAAATAGTACCAGTATTGTCATAGACCCATGTAGTATATGATAACGCCTTCTCACAAAAGAAAAACAGTGTTTGATTTTGTTCAATGTTTATATGGCAGTGTTACAGTAATGCTAATCATAAGAAAGACATTGTTGAACATTCGATATAAAATAACAATACAACATACAATATTTAATGACTTACCTTTATCGACTTAAAATGTACTGCTCACTTAGCTATTAAGTACTTCTTAAAATGTTATCTTTTTCTATTTAAATAAACTCCAACACATCTCCATTTATAGCCCTTCAAAGTTACGTAAACTTCCCGGAAGTTAAACAAAGTAGTTAGCTTTATGAATCAACACAGCTTGAAAACAAGGGTCTTGCAAAATTTATGTCACTAATTGTTTTTATGTATAGGTGCCACTATGCATGACACTTCTTGAAAATTATTTGTACAAAATAGTGACCAAAATATTCTAACAGAAATTGAAAAGTATGCCTTTCTTAATTGAGTTGTTTACTTCAATCGCAAGAAGTCTATTTTAAGGAAAGATCGTAGCTAAATTAAAGCCCATGCAAAGCTGATATTTGGTAAATTACATAGAAAATTGTCCTTTCAAAACTGTTTAGCTTTTTCTAATATAAAAAGTTAGATTAGCATAGCGAGGAGGCATTCATCAAGACTGTAAGAGCTTGGACATTATATGTTGAAATTCATAACACTTTTGGTCGCCATATACGAAGGCAGCAATCTTTCTTGTGGTCAGACAGAATACGCATTGGTCGCTTCAATAATTAGATTTGTCATTAAAAAATCTTAGTAAAGATACACAGATTGTGATAGAGTTGTTACCTTTTAGATTGATTTTTGTTCATCTTTAGAGTGCCAGCTGCTCCACCAGGTCATAATGAGTTTGATTCTGCAGCTTATTCGTTTGACGACCCTGAGTAATATGAGCCGCGTCACGGCAAAACCAAGGTAATGCGTTTGCTACCAGCATGGATCCAGACCAGCCTGCGCATCCGCACAGACTGAGCAGGATCCATGCTGTTCGCTATCAGTTTCTCTTCTTGTAATAGAGTTGGTAAGCGAACAGCATGGATCCTGATCAGACTGCGCAGATGCGCAGGTTTGTCTGGATCCATGCTGGTCGCAAACGCACTATGTTGGTTTTGTCGTGACGCGGCTCATGTGTTACTTCTAACATTCGATAATGTTTTGCATTCTTTAACGAACAGTCAGTCAAAACTTCATTTCCTATTCGTCAAACAGACTAAATTGTAAATCTTTTTTTCTTCTTAGTAATTGAATATGTGATTCATTAAGACCAAATACTCTTGATATTTGTTTTACAAATACCATTATTTAAAAAAAAACGAAAATAAAGATCGGCAAGGCAAAGGCAACGTTCACAGGACGCAGCCCCTGACAAACCCAGACTACCACAGCAGTGAAAACTTTAGATGTTACAAAATTAAACACAGAACAGAATATTTTGCTATAGACCCTCATATTACAATATCTTCCTTACAGAGTTATAATTGTCTTGTCAAAATATCACAGATAAAAGATAACAAATCTCTTCCTTTCTTCCTTAAGGTTTGTAAATATAAAACTTATAAACTTCTTATGATATATCTCTACGGGAAGCTTACACAAGTACATTATCCGTAAACAGCAGCTGAATTGATGATAGTGGTGATATTGATGTGATGTTCGAGAAGGAAATTATTATATTAGCTGATTGTCGTATATGAGTTTTTTATGTCTCCATTTGTATAGTTGGCAGCTTATTGCGATAGGGGTTCGTCCGTACGTAAAAAAATCTGGAAGCATAGTGATCCCTCGGAAGCATTAATCACAACAAAACTACAAGAGAATTGCAGACTCGGTTTGATTGAGTCTGTCTCGTTAAGCTAGTTTGAAAACTGAGTTCTGAAAAAACAAACATGAAAGGAAAATTGTATACGGGCATATGTTGACCGATCAACGTAAACATAACAACTTCAAGCTTGTCCGAGAAATAACTACATGCAGATAAAGATTATACCTACCTTTCAAGATAAATGGGATTTTGCTTGTGTTTGTTTTATATCCTATATCGATTTTCAATATTATCAGTATTTTAAAATTCAAGTTTCTATTACCTTAAAGTTACATTAAATAGATATGTAAAAATATTTTGCCGTCGGCCTGATAACCAAGCATTCTACTGTTTTATTAACCTTTTTAACAGTATTGTTGTAAATCTCATTAAATATTGTTCATAAATTACGATTTTAAACGGAAAACCCCACGGTAACACTAAAGTTCGTATGTTTGTTGATTTAATATTGATGTACGGATGACTCGAAGGCAGAGTTTCTCATGAAACCAAATTTACTAATGAAATGTCGCTATTTTTGTTTTTAAGAAATTACTTTAATGTAGCTTTAACCACCTTACATCTTTAAAAAACAAACAAATAACTGACGAACCATTCAGTTTACAGTTTATTGTATAGTATACATAGGTTTGGATGATTAGTAGACATATATTTTATCAGCAGATTTGTAGAAATGAATCGGCACTAGCACATGCAGTGTAACATATTTATAAAGTTGTGAGCTAGAACATGACAGAATGGTCATTTTAAAAACAGTTTGTAATGGCAAAACTATTTCGGAACCAGTTTAAAGTGACGTGTGATTTTTTCCAAGGAAAAAGAACATAATGTTGTCAAGTTATAGATACCTTGTATCATAAACTTTTTAAATCATGTCCGGATTTAGACTTCTTTAAAACCTTTACATGCATGATATATGAATTTCGTAATATATATAGTGTACAAACTACTTTAAGGCGTGAGTTCACACTTAAAGCTGCACGCCTCAAGATAAGCAAAAATATTTCGATAAAATCAAACCTGAGAAAAATGTACTTAAATTTTAGGAAAGGTATAAAGATTCAAAATTCTAGTAAAAATTTACATATTAATGACCGAATTTTTCAGTATTTATAACTATATTTCTACTGCGTTACTAACGCAGAAAGAGCTATTTTTGCATATTTTGACCTCTTTATAGTAAGTTATATAGGCTGAAATGCCATTGATAATGTGTAAATAGCATTCTTATGGTAACTTTACAATACCGTTATATTATATATATATAATTAGCATGAATCTGGAGGAGTGCTGCTTTAAATGTTTTAGAAAAGTGTCATTAATAATTTCAATATCAGATATGTCCCATATTTTCAAGCTTCTGACTATTGATCATACTATGAAAACAGCTAGTTGTTAAATATGTTCAGGTTATTTTTGTTGTTTTTTTTCTATACTGTTAATACATTTTTTTTTCTAAACTCTTAATACACATTTTGCTTTCACTTTAGTCTTTCAAAAAGTTATGTAAATCTCATTTAGTCATTTATATTCCTTGCACATAGAAACATATCTTTATATATTTCACATTGTCGAAAGTGCTGATCTAATCACTGCGCTTTAAACAAAGACATTCCAGAACAAACTGGTGCCCTCTACTTTTGAGTTTATTTCCTAAAATAAAAAGAATAAACATCAGCGATAAAAACAAGTTCAACCAAATATTACATGCCTCCAAAAGAATTCAAAAGATTTTAAAAACAGTAAATATATTCAAGATCAAGTAATAATTTACATGTTATGTGCGACTAATGATTGATAAAGCGGGATTAATCACCACTGTCGGTTACCGACGACATATATTCCTAATACATTTATATAATCTTAGATAATAAACTAGAATCATGTGATAAGAACCATAAAAACTATTTTGCAAAATGAAAATCTTGAGGATTGCTTGGATCAAAATAGTTCTTAGACAATTTTTACTATATGCTACATTTTGACAGTATGACACTTTCATATTTTGAACATTTGATAACGATCACTATCTTATTTGGAAATGAATACCTTCTTGGCGCTTGATTTGCAGAAACTTGGTACATCAAACACCTTTTCGTCTTTAATTCCAAGAGTCAAGTTCTGATATGTGGCCAAAATTGTGTTAAAGTTTTTAAAGTTTGCTAGAAGAATAACAAAATATTTCAGAATATATTTTAAAAATGATAAGAAATGATAAGATGTGTATAATAGTTAATATAAGTACATGTATATAATAAACAATAATTTCAAAGAAGCATAGTATCTAAATACAAAATACCATTATTTAAGATTTGCAATACTACCTTATCATAACTTACTTTTAAGATATTATTTGTTTCATGGTTAAGATATGACATTTTTTTTGGCTCAATAATTTAATGCACGAAAGAAAGAAATTGTACATAAATGTATAAAATTTTGTTTTGATAAAGATTCATAAGGTAGACCTTATTTCATTATTATAAAAAAAACATGTTCTACGAGTTTGAAAAATAAATTATAAACAATTTATATTGCAAAATTCAAAATCTCATGCTATTTTTTTTTCGTTTCACAACGCACCAAAACAATTTAGGTCATACGGCGCCAAAACAGGCAAGATTTTGGTTAACCTCGGGTGTTAAAAAATAAAAACATCATCAGGAAAGAGAACCACCTCATCTGCTGGAGCTAAGAGATACGTAGATTTATTGATAAGGTACAGTAATAAGTTATATAATGCTTACACTTCGCATGGAAAATTAAATCAAACACCGGCACACAGTTGTCAGAAATTGTCCGCAACATCTGCGTTTGGTCAATTTTATACAAATAATCAGTGACATTTATCTGCTCTTTCACACCAAGTGTGTAACTTTTCATACGTTTAGCATTATCTGAAAATCAATTATTTCCTCTACATATTAGTGAGTTCAATAATTTACCGATAATAAATGAAGTTCACCGTTAATTGAAATACATTAATTGAACTAATTGTATAAAAATAGGACTGGAATAAAAACAACATTGAAACTGGACTAAATCCGCAAATAGTTTTTGCAAAATATAACCAGATCAATAAGATTAACTCTTATTATAACTTTAATGTACTCTATGACTTTGTTCTTGATGGACTGAGCAAATATAATTTTAAATAGCTAAAACATATTCAAAATTCTGCAACAACGGATGGCGTTAATGAAGATCTTCAAAGTGGTTTATATGTTTTGCTGATGAAGGTGCTGGTGAGATAGACATGTTTAGAAAGCTTATTTACAAAGATACTCTCTGACAAATGTCATGAAATTCATTTTTTTCATACATACCTGGAACACAGAATGCTCCAATTTTAGGAGGCTCAAGTAGTTTGATACTGCAAGTTGAATTCCGGATGAAATAAACGACAGCCTGCCAATCAAAACATTTAAATGATTTAGGCTTAAGAAAATTGCAAAACATTAAAGTTTAAGATAGCAATTCTGTCTACAAGTTTCATTAATAATTGTTGAAGATAAATCTAATATAAGCTATACCAACGTTCTATTTTTATTATAAGAACTATATTGTTATCTTTGTGTATATTCTTTTAATATATATTAAATAATTATAATTTTCTGTATAATATATAAATAATCTTACAGTATGTATACTTCACTTTATTTACCAAACCTACTGTTAATAATGAACCTTTGAATAAAATCGGAGAACAGTGGCTTGTCTAAACAATGTAGTTACGATATTTTTTTTTTTAATAATACCTTTTCGAAAAACAGCAATTCTACATAACCTGTAGCTGGAGAGTACTGTCTCAAGCGTTTTTTGGTCCAGTCAAACGATATGTCAAAATCTCTCTGTAAAATTTTGAAGAATACATGTCATCGATTTTTTTCAGGTATAGTTATATATCTTGCTCAATTCATTTCAGTTTTTCACATTTATACAGAAAAGTGACTTTTGTACTGGTGATATATAAAATTCATCATCATCATCTGAAGTAATTGCATCACTCCGCAAGGAGTATACTCGCAATCAAAATTCCATGTATATTAATCATTCTTAAAATTTTCATTTAAACGTTTTTTTTTTTTTTTTTTTGTTATATTTCTTTTTGAAATCAGATTTTAAATTTTGGAACTAAATTACCTCTATATAAGGCCTATATATTTTTGCTTTTTCATTTGGCATGAAATGATTGGCATGACATTCAAATTGGCTTGGAAAACAGCATACATCTGCATGATATGCTCTCAACATCAATAACACAATGGCGAGAGATAATGATGTTCGCAGTGAAGTACTCATTTCGGCTGGTTATAGAAACACAGGTGATGAATATAATGCTGTAATGACATTATCACAAAAGTAAGATATAGTAACCATACTTTTAATCACATACTTTATTCAAAAATAGGAATGAAAAGATAAATAAAGGACAGCCACGTTAAATGAATTCACTCTTCAAAAGCATCCAGTCACACAAGACCATCATTAAAATTGCAACTTGAAGTGAGAGATGTAATTTGTAATTTTAATAGATATGCGTGTAATTAAAATTACAAAAGAAAGATCAAAACGCCTTCCTGTGGACAGTGCTTTGGCACCAAACATTTATTGATTTAAATATGAAAGCTTTTGAAACTTCTACTTCTATTTCGTCTTTAATTAATATACGCACACAAGCTGATACATATACTGTACATTATTAAGTCATGTTTATCTTCTTTACTCCACTTATTTAAAACATTTATTTCAATTATTTCTCATGTTCTTAAAATTATGTTAAAACTCGTTCAACGTTCTAGCATAAGAATATGGAAATTACTTAAATTAACTGTTTTTCAATAAAAATGTTGCATCGTATATAGCTTTATACCCTTTATAATGCACGTTATGGAGTTCATAATAGCGAATAAGATAATATCTGAACGAAATACCGTGCAAAATTATAAATCACTCATTCAAAAGATTCACATTACGAAACAATATTTCTGGGCTTTATTATTGGTGTTGATATTGTTTACGTCTTGGTAGCTGTTCCAGTCGGCTTGAAGATATTCTCCCTTTTTGCACAGATATTTTGAGAATCAGAAAAAAATCGGAAACGTTCCAAAAGTTTTATGTTTATATTTATTATCATTATTCAAGTATAAAAACTAAATAAACACAGTAATTATCTGAAAAATATAATTTACTATAGAAGCGGTTAAATTGGTCAAATATTTGTAGGGTAACGTCTAGTAATGAATGGGGTGTTACAGGCGCGAGGGGTTTGTTTTAGACTTTTCTTAGCACTCTTAATGTATTCTGATATAAAAGGCAATCTATATGCATTTTATAACTTTTAAAGATGAATGGCAGATTTTCCTATAGTAATGTTTCATAACTAAAGGCAAAAAGAAGAACTAAGGAGAGATCGAAACATAAATGTAGAATATTTTAAAATAGTCGCTTTATCTTTTGTAATAATAAATCAGTCTTTCATTGGTAAATGCATTTAAATATTTAAGTTTACATTTGTAGTACTTTTATGTTTTCAAAATATCGTCGTGTGCATAATTACATAATTCACTCTAGTGATTGAGGGGTGCGGTAGTCTAATGTCTAGAACATTTATGAATAAACATTGTAGCTACTCAACCCTGAACTTTTGTCAAAACAGAAGGGGAAAATAATAAAATTAAAAGCTGATAGTTACGTTAATGTTGAAAAATTTAACGACCATTTTTAAATCATTATTTACTGAACAATGCCCAATCGAAATAGAAAATAAAGAATAACAGAAATTCACAAAGAAAGCCCGAAACAGTGTGACCAGGTGGGCTCCAACCCATTTTTAAAGATAATAATGGGCAACCACACTGGCACAAGCAGCAGTCGAAGCAGCATGGTCCAATACAACAAAGTCCAGTTGTAATTGATTATATTTATATATTAAATTAAACAAATACAACATATTAATATACAACAAAAGTATAATGCATATATGTATGATATATGAGTTTAAACACATATAACAATATTATGCTATAAATTTCCACTGTGGTCAGGTCAGCCAGCCTAGAAATATCCTTAGTCCTTACTTAAAATAATTAATAAACATATTGACAAACTAAAACGAAATTACACAAACAATACATATATTTACATACCAATTGTGGATCAGGTCTTTTATATATAATACACCACTGTCACTCTGCTCTGATTCTTACTGTGCTCTATTAACTGTAAATGGTTAAATGACAGGTGATTATATAAGATAGTAAATCCTGATTGTACCAATATATATTTGTACACAAATACTGAATTAATACAAATAAAGCATTGCTCATTTGTGACTCAAAAGAAGATGAATCAATATTAATAATAATAATAAATAAGACCAACCAACCTCAACCTTTAATTATTAAGAACACCAAAATAGTTAAAATTAATAAAGTAAAGTTTAGCAAAGTTGATACACTTTTAACTGCTCAGTAACAAGACTTGTGCACGAGTGAACAAAATGTCACATGACCACAATAATTGGTTCGAAAACAGCGGTAAATCAAATGCTTGACTAAAGGGAGATTATAGAAAACTCTGCAAAAATAAAATGCAAAAAGTTTAAAATAAACGAAAAGAGCAAAAACACTAACTGGTTACAACAGCAAAATGGAAAATGTTGCAGGCTCGGGTTTATTGAGGCTGTTCATGGTATTTCCAGCAAAGGTCCACGACCCATAGCACCGACTTAAGCATAATTCAACATTTAATGAAAATGGTGAAATTTGAATTTAAAAACATCTGCAGATGTGTTCATACAGCGGAATCTTTAATGTGAGACGTTCGTGCCATTCCATGAAAATTGGCGTATGTTTCCCAAACAACAATAGCGTGTAACCTTAACAAGTAAACAATGGGCGGAACTAAATAAAATGGAATGTTAAAGAAGATAAAAGGTTATAGAGCCTGCATATCACAGACAAGACCTCAAAAGACAAATTTAAAACGCAGACAACATATCTAACAGTTTATTATACATATTCAAGTAGGAAAACTGTAACTACCCAAAGTAGAAAAAAAGATTGTTTAAAAATAAGCGTGATTGTGAAGACAAATGTTTAGAAAGATCGTTATATGGCAAAAGCTTATTGCAGAAAATATTGGCACACGATTTATTCAACCAGAAAGATGTACACGACGACAAATATGTATAATGTATAACTGCACATAATCTTTTTATTCTCACATAGGCTTGAACTAGGTGAATCTGAGCTCACATCTGACCTTTTTGTTCTTTGGCAATGACCTTATAGGCAATATAAACCCAGACTTTTAACTACGATTCTTTCCTCTTTTTTTGCATACTATCGTGTATTTTTTGCTAAATCCCCTGAAATTCGAAAGGCAAGGCTATGTTACATTAAAGGACGTGGTGATACATAAGGGTAGAAAATGAAAACGTCTCAAACAAAATCAATATAAGATGTAGACATACTCAGTACATTGCTATGTATAGAGCACACCATTGGATCTAAGATTCATTTAAATAACTTGAAATTATTATCTTTAAGAGTTTCATTTGGTTTAGAACACACTATCGCATTGCTAAACATAACCCATTAGTTATTCATTACTTGTTTTCAAGTTTTCAAACAAATATAACTATCAATTATTAGGACATTCTTTTGAAAAATAATATAATTTGCTTGATTTTCTTTCCTGTGTCGTTATCCGCTATATATTATTATTATATTTCTTCAGTCAGAACAGATGTTGCTCGACCATATAACGGGAAAATATACCATATATTGTTATTAAACAAAATACTTTTATACGAAGGTGTTATCCATTCTGACATTTTATTAATACTGCATACAATCTACTTTTTAAAACTTTCTTTTGAAATGGAAAAGTATTTACTGTGTCCTAGAAAAGAAATTCAGAAATGATGTAACTTGATTTTAAACTTCCTCTAGAAACTAGCAGATATAATAACGTACCTCTTGGACAACAAATTTGTAAATCATGCAATATGAGGCAAGTGGAGAATGAACATCACTTTCTTCAAACAATTTATCGCACGATTCTACTGCCATTGGCCGACTTCGAGTGAACTTGATAGTGATTTGTCGGCAGATTCAAAGAAAACTTCATAAACCCAACCTAAATATTTGTATTGGGCAAATCATAACTATATTGTTTAACATATTTTTCTATATAATTTGTATTTCTGATAAGTAACACTTTTATTTATTCCTAACTTTATTCGAATTTATCAGAAAAATATATTTTACCAGCTGTTGTCGCAATGTACTTACACATCATTACTACTTGGCATTGACTGCTACTAGAACATAATCTTCTGACAACGTAAACAATATGGATAAAAGGAAAACAATTGGTAATGCATCTTTGGTTTTATTAGTGACATCATCATGTTGTAGGTAGTTACAAATCATATTATGTTAAGAAGAGTAAGTTTGGAACTTCATAATGTATATGATAATAACATATAACTAGTTTGTGTAGAAAATAGTAACAAATTTGCAAATCATATTCTAGTTTTGTTATCAAAGTAATTTAAATGTGATACGGCAGAAAAACGTGCTGCAATATTTACCGTAACAAGTTAAATTATTGTACGTTGGAGTTGCACATTTTATGTTTAATTGTTATTGATTTGTATTTTACTGTTTGTAGCAATATCGAAATTGACAATTGTGTTTAGTCAAGACTTCATAATTCTGATCTGTAACATCCAAACTGTCCAACAGTTTCAATCAGTTTGATAGGATATCAGGTCAATATTCGGCAAACATTTCTCTCCAGAACATCTTTTCATGCAATGGTTCTTTTGTGAGTTCGTAGTCCTGTAACAGAAAGTTTACAATGAGTATCAATTTATATGTCTTGATGTTACGATATGATTCAAATGATAACATATTAGATCAAGTTCACGCTGATATTAATGATGAACAGAGAGTATAAATTACGGTCAGAGCTGCATTACTGGTACTGGTACTGGTACTGCAGTACGTACTGCAGCGATTTTGCAAGTACTGGTACTGATACTGAATTACTCTTACAAAATTTTGCTACTACTGGTACTGGTACTGCATTACTGTCTTAAAAAGTGGTACTGCTACTGCATTACCCAGTACTTTTGGTTTTGATAAAATTAAAAATAACATCAATTTTTCTCATTAAATAAAGCTGTAAATTACATTAACTACATTTTATTTTTGTGAAACAGTAAGTTATCAAATCTAAAGATAATTTGCTGCAATATTCCTTCAAATGTTAACATAGTATTCATCATAAAAAGCACCAAAGACTTTAAGTAAAAATTAAATTAAGATAAACAGACTCAATAACTCTTTACCCTAAAATATCCTTATTAAAATCTTTTATTACTTTGTATTTACTAGTAAAAGAGCAAAATAAACACTAATTAATTTCTTCTATTCTAAAAAAATCCCATTTCAAGTGAAAAAAGTGGAATTGGAAGATGGACAAAACCCCACCAGTTAAAACCCCACCACTCAAAATTTTATATAAAATTTTAACTGGTGGGGTTTTATCCTATTGTTTGCACCATAAAAAGTTGTTATTTACTTTGGTATAAATTGAACAGAGGTGTGAAGGTGTGAAAGGCAACAAAAGACTGTTGTGTTTTAAATGAAAGATGTTTGCATTGTATTTACAGTTGACTGGTTACTAAACAATTAGATATGACATGAATATTATATGTTGTAAATATTGTTTGTAAAAAGTATGTTAAAACTATAAAGTTGTAAATATGTTATGTTAACTTTAAAGCAGCATGCCTCCAGATTCATCCTAATTTTCATGAAAATTTTGAAAATGTATTTAAAGGTAAAATATTGTTAAATGAACAAAGAAAGTACTTGACACATTACAATCAGCACTTAAAATCCACGTAAATTACCAAAAAGAGGTCAAAACATGCATAAATAGCCCCTACTGCGTTAGTAACGCAGTAGAAATATAGTGATAAATACTACAAAATACAGTCATTAATTGCACATAAGATATAAATTATCACTTGAATCTTTAATTTGTTTACTTTTCTCAAAGTTTTAGTAATTTTTTTCCAAGTTTAATTTTCTTGAAATATTTTGGGTCATCTGGAGGCATGCAGCTTTAAAGTAAATTATGATTTTATTTCTTTGCTGAATAATATTTGCAATTATTTGTTTGACACTGTATTTATTCAAACTTTGATGAATATATAAAAGTAATGGTACTGATACTTAATTACTTCACCAAAAAAAGTACTGGTACTGCAGTACCGAGCTAAAATCTAGTACTGGTACTGGTAATGGTACTGCATAATTTGCCAAGTACTGGTACTGGTACTTAAGTACTACACCCTTAGTACTGATGCAGCTCTGATTACGGTTATTCATATTCATTAAATCAAGCAAAAACATTGTTCAAGTAAACAGAACAATTAAGAGATTATACAGTGTAATATTGTTTGATGCAAATCTACAATGAAAATCTCGTTCAATATTTACCCTCAATGCATGTTTGCAGATTGCAGGAACATGGAACACCGATGGATCCGGTATATCTGGTAAATAGTTTTCAAAATGTGCTGCAAACAGGGTCATTGTGTCTGAAACGAACAAATAATATCGAATGTGACGTTATCGACTTTTTTGTTCCACTGAGGAATTCGAACTCACAGCGTTGAGGGACAAGTTGTTTGACGTAAAAAGCTTGGCCATAGACGCCCCTAAGCAGCCAGCAGTTAGGTAACAATTTTAATTCTTGTTACACCTCTTACTTTTTATGATGACTCGATGGCAGAGTGTATGAGGTATTTCCTATTTAACATTATCGCTGTGATGAAACTCGAACAAGAACTTCATTTGTAAGAGGAAAACATTAAACACATTTTTTCCTTGCCTTTCAAGTAGAAAATCAAAATGTCAACTTGTTTTTTTACCTTGTATGATGATGTATGTAAATAGCTATTATGGAGAATTATGTAAACAATTATGATGTAGAATTACGTAAACAGTAACTATGTAGAATCACTATTACTCCAGAAACATAGTTTAAAAACAAATAAAATAACTCTTTGAATATTCGAGAAAATATTTAGCTTAGAATAACACGTTTGAAGGTATCAATCAAAAAAGGAGTATACTTGATTGAACAATGCTATGCTTAGAAGGTTTTTCAAGTGTGTCAAAATCCATTTTACATGGAAGACAATATAATGAAAATGATTTGTTGGTCCGCTAATGCTATTTTTTTCTTTATAATATTTAACCATTTATAAATTGCGTTAAAATTATTGTAAGACGTTACCTTTACTCGGGAATCCAAATGATGTTATGCTGACAGGAGTACAGTTGTCAGTTAAGCTGACGTAAACGGATACGGAATGTTCACTGTGTCCGTAATCAGCAACATTAATGCTGGGCTTGAATCCGAGTCTGTATTCGTCGTATCTTTTCCATGTATCTATTGTAGAAATTTAACAAACCTTTGCTAATGGTAACTCATTCAATGAATCATTACGAAGGATGTGACATGTAAGCTTATTTTCTGTATATCCGCTTCTCAAATTATATTTTTGTACTTTTTGACGTTTCTATTTAACAAACAAAAAAACAAAAGAAAAAAAACAACAAAAAAACGTGAGGTTATTTTGCGTTGATGAGTACAATATAAAGTACTCAGTTGTCAAACCTATATATGACGAGGTGCTTGCCAAGTCTAATATGGGTTAAGTTTTGCGGCTGCGAACGGGTCCAACAGAGTCAATGTTACTGTCAACGATTATAATTAAAGACTTCTTTTTCACAGATTTTCAGGACTCTAAGAAAGAAAAAATAATAATTTGTATAAGCAGTTCATATTGTGCATACAGTGAAACAAGTTTATTGATAACATTTTATTAAGTGTGAAATAATACGGTTTGTTTGTTATCCGTTATAAGATTTGTTTTCATAAGAGAGATTTTCTCACCCGGGATGCAAATCGGTTCCGGCGGAAAATGGCCTGGTTCAAACAGTGTACATTGTCTATTGTTCAAAATCCTGAAACCAACGTTCTGAAAGAAATGATAATATCAAGTGTTAAACTCAAGGAAGGTTTGTACACACATATAATGTTTGTGTCTGCACTGGTATGCAGATTGTTTACACATTGTGTGCACATTTTACAAATCTCAACAGCGTGAAGTAAAACGGTAAAATAGATAATTATATCATCACAGACGCTATTATTTGTTCACGTTAATAAATTCTAATTGGTTCATTTACATATCTGGTGTACAATTACCAATGTCAGGGACTTTGGAATAACTTATTTTTATGACGGAATCCAGGTAAATTTTGGAAGGCTGGCTGTCCTAAGGATAAAGGGGTACACGAAGTTTTTCTCCACTACTCACCATTTGGTGTGACATGTAACTCAACCAAAAATATAGTAACCGTTCGTATGTTGGAGAAAAAACAACAAATAAATATATTGCCATGGTTCGTGTTTACTTACCGCATTGAATAGCTGAAGAAGTGTAACATTATCCTTGGAGGAAAATGTATCTTGCCTTATTTTTTTCTCCACGCTGTCAAAGAATATATCAATGGTAAACTGAAAGTATAAATGAAGCATGTTTTAAGCATTTTCCATACAAAGTTACCAACAGATGAGCAAGGTTTTATTATTATTTGCATTTCGAATAAAAGAACTGCAAACTTGTCCAACATTGCAAATTCACTTATATTCGTGGGCATGAAATTTCGTGGTTTTATCAAAACGGGCATTTTCGTGGGTTTTTTAATTCGTGGATTTTCGTTTTCTTGTTAAAAAAATCAGTGACCTAATGCAAAGTAATCTTAAACTTAATCGTCGAACATTTTTACTTACAACATGTACATGTAATTTTCTTTGTTTGAGAGTAGCGAATAAGATGTACAGATATAGAGTATCTTGGGTGTGATTTGAATACAATCAATGGTACTATTTCCATTCCCGATCGAAGATTGTTAAAAGCACAAGAAACTATTGATTTTTTGATTGGCCTTATTGACAAGAAGTTTAAAGTTCCCGTAAGAAAAGTTACTAGTGCAGTTGGTCAGTTTATTTCTATGACGACAGTCATTGGGCATATATCTCAAATTATGACTAGATATTTAACTTTAGATGTATTAAATGCACGGTATTGGGATGAGCGCATTTTACTCAGTGCAGAGAGTTATGAACAGCTTTTATTCTGGAAAGGTTACTTGTCGTGTATAGACAAGAAAGATCTTGAACGATCTCATATCTGTACAAAAGTAGTGTATTCTGATGCAAGTGACACAGCTTACGCTGGGTATGAGGTTAATACCTTAAATGGGGTATCCCATGGCGTCTGGTCAGAAACAGAACGCACCAAATCTTCCACTTGGAGGGAATTGGTTGCTGTCTACAGAGTATTGTTGGCTCTAGGACATTTCCTTAAAAGTCAATGTGTTAAGTGGTTTACTGATAATCAAGGGGTTAAGGTGATAGTTTTAAAGGGTTCTATGAGGCAAGAACTTCAAGAAATTTTTCAGTATTGCATGAAGAATGCTATTTCCTTAGAAGTAGAGTGGGTCCCCAGAACACAAAATGAAAAGGCAGATTTTTTATCGAGGTTGTCTGATTTTGATGACTGGGGAATTTCGTTTGATATATTACAAATGATAACTGATCGTTTCGGTCAATTAGATGTTGATTGGTTTGCGTCATATTATAATGCTAAACTGACTAAGTTTTATTCAAGATTTTGGAACCCAGATTGTTTTGGGATTGACGCCTTTTCGGAAAGCTGGGAAGGGCAGTTTGGGTTATTTGTACCTCCTATATCTGTTATTCATAGAGTAATTATGAAATTGGCTTGTGATCATGCACATGGAGTATTAGTTATTCCTTGTTGGAAGTCCGCCTTATTTTGGCCGTTTATATGCCCGAATGGGTGTTTCATAAAAGAAGTTGTAGATTGGTTTGATTTACCTACGGAAAGACATTTTTATATTAAGTGTAAAAATGGAAAAGGTATCTTTGGAAATACCGATTTAAAATTTAGAATGTTAGCTTTAAAATTACAGTTTACTCAAGGGAAATAATTAAGTTTGTATTTCTATTAAGTAATAACCGGATGGTCTCCCTTGCAAAAGAAAAATGCGGTATCGCACATTGCAGTATTGCTTTATACGGCGGGATCGCCTTTTGTATTGCTTGTTACAAGAACATAATGCTGTATAGCATTTTTTGTTACATAAAAATTACAACAATAACAATAGATAATAATAACAATGCAACAATTTGAGTTTGCGCTGATTTATATTATTGTCATTTTTCTTTTTTACATTTATTTCTTCAAATTTACGCTGAAGATATTGAAGAACTGCCGGATGTTTTGGCGGGAAAAGTGGACTTGCTCCCGGACCTGTTGCGTAATTCAAGAGCACGAGGAACGGACAAAAAGTATACTTTTACGTTTTCAAAAATGGGCTCTGTGTAATGGGTTGGGGAGTAGGGATACTTTGACAGCTTAAATACTGACAGTTGCAATTTATCTAGCATCTCTTATTCAGACTGTAAATTTGCAAAGCCCCACCGTTTCAGCTTTTTATTTCTATTAAATGGTTTCACGAAATGTATGGATTAATTTCGCCTACAGAATCAAAATTGGTTTTAAATGTTCTTGAAGCTAGTAAACGACTTCTGTCAAAGCCAGTTAAAAGGAAAGAACCTATTAATGTAGAAATTATTAATAGTATTTATGACAGATTGTATGTAGAGTATAATATAAAAAGTCAACGAATTATCTGCGCTATTTTGATTGCATATGCAGGTTTTTTAAGAAGTTCTGAACTTTTAAAAAATTCGTGTTAGAGACATAGTGTTTAATTCTACTTATATGTCTGTTTTCATTGAAAGTAGCAAGACAGATAAATACAGAGATGGGGCTTGGGTATTGATCGCAAAAACGGGTACAAAGTTATGCCCAGTTGCAAATGTTCAGAAATTAATATTGTGGGGAGAATTTCTGGATGATCATTTTCTATTCTGTAATATATGTGCAACAAAAACTGGATACAGAAGAAGGAAAATAAATAAGCCAATGTCGTATTCTAATCTACGAGATATTTTTATTGAAGTGTTAAAACCTCATGTTGATAATGTTAGTAATTATTGTTTGCATTCACTACGTTCAGGAGCAGTGAGTGCTGCAGCAAATAAAGGTATTAAAGACAGGATTTTTAAGAGACACGGACGTTGGGTTAGTGAAGGTGCTAAGGATATGTACATTAAAGACAGCGTTCATGAGCGTCTGTCAGTGTCTTTAAATCTCGGCTTGTGAATTGAATTATGTTATAGACAATTTGTACACTTCCATTAATTCGTTGTGTTATGTTAATAATTTTCATTTAATATGCATTTTGAAATATAAGTTGGTCCACAATAAATAATTAATACATGCCCGTTCTTTTTGGTTCATCTGACTGTCTAGACGCTTACTCAAATACAGAATTTGTATTGCAACTAGTTGTTGTTTTATATTAAAACAGTTTTAGGTATAGTCATACTCTTATGTAAGGGAAGGAATGGTATAAAGGAAATATCTTTACTTCGCACAGCGGTTGTCAATAAATTTAATCCTTGCCTCTGGGCATAACTCTAATATAGCACAGTTACTGCCGATAATTGACTGCAATTAACACATTTATGTGACATGATATGCACCTCCATTGGACACACTGCCCCTATAATTCGCCGATGTAAAAAAACATCGCATAATTTATACGACACCTGGCCGTTTTAACCAGCGAGTTTAAACGTTTATACCCTGAATTGTACGGAATGCCGTTAGGGCCATCGCCTATGAATGTGTTAATCTGAAACGCGATAGTCGATAGTACGATGGTGAAAACACGAAATCACGAAACTACGATGGTGAAAACACGATAGTACGATGATGAAAACGCGATAGTACGATGATGAAAACGCGATAGTACGATGATGAAAACACGACAGTACGATGGTGAAAACGCGATAGTACGATGATGAAAACACGACAGTACGATGATGAAAACGCGATAGTGCGATGGTGAAAACGCGATAGTACGATGATGAAAATACGACAGTACGATGATGAAAACGCGAAATCACGAAACTACGATGGTGAAAACGCGACAGTACGATGGTGAAAACACGATAGTTTATCGCGTTTTCATCATCGTAGTATCGTACTGTCGCGTTTTCATCATCGTACTTTCGCGTTTTCATCATCGTACTTTCGCGTTTTCACCATCGTAGTTTCGTAATTTCGCGTTTTCACCATCGTACTATCGACTATCGCGTTTCAGATCAACACATTAATAGGCAATGGCCCTAACGGCATTCCGTAGAATTGGCCTTAACATATTTGACAGTAACTACACGTAACGTCACAGCGACTGTGTAAATTTACATGCATATAAATAATTCTCGGTAAATAACAGGAGTATATGTGGATCTTGTAAAAGTCGGTGGCCGTCTTTGATGTTTACGGAATAGCATTCGCACAATTACCGATTAAAATTCATATAAACTGGATCATTTAAAAACGACAAAGGAAAGTACAATAAATCTGTTTTAGCGATCGTATTTTTTTATAGTTTTGTGTACTTACGACATTAATATCAAAGTCTATTTTTCTAATTAATAAGAGCAAACTGACAATTTTTATTAGCGCTAATTATTGCACTGCCTGGGTTCCCATATTTACTCGATTATTTCAAGTATTATTGTTAAGGTGACAACAGACACTTTCCGTGGTACTCACATAAATGTAATTTAAACCAAGTTATTTTAGTAATAATTGTTATTTATTTAATCTTTATGCATTAAATGTCGCTGATCAGCATAAAAAATAACATATTTGAAAAAAATGTTTTTGTAAATGATTGATTTTGAATAAAAATCCTAAAATTTTAAATCGTCATATCAAAGTCATTTTTTATTTTTTTGTCATCAAACTTTTGGAAAATAACCTTACTTATATTATCTGGGGAACCGTGTCTCAAATTTTTTCTATCTTTTCTCAAAAAAATATTACGTAACGTCAAACATTTTATGCGACTTTTTTCACCATACATATTACGTAATTAAAGATAATTAAGTCGCTGATTGAGCAAACAAAAATCTCTGACACGGTTCCCTCCGTAAATGAATTTCCTTTCATGTGCTTTAAACCGCATGTTAATTGCTTGATTATTAAAAAAGTTATGCCGATTCAAAGTTAGTCCGACCCGCATCAAACGAAGTGTCATAAATCGGCTGTTCTCTCTCGGACCCCTACGTTTCACGCTAAATAATTGCATAATACACAAATATCGCACCAGAGAGGGTCACAAGTTGCGGTAACATACTCTAACAACATTTTATGACCCAGTGACATCTGACCAATTAAAAAGCTGCTGATTAATATCAGTTTATAGCCGAAATTTCTTCAATTCTTAACGTGATTTACTGTTCGTCTGGTATCTTTCGCACATGTCACGTGACTATCGGTAAAATTTGAGGCACTCAGTGGGGGGAAATGGAACGCATTTGCGCACCGCTAGCGGGGTATTTAATTGTTTCCTTTTTGAAGTTTATTATTATTATCATCAGCATTATTATTGTATTATACCAGTGTCACTCTGCCTGTGTATTCGTGTATGAAATTCCGTTAAAATATAAAATAAAATAACAAAAAACTGAGCTTCTGACAGTCTTTTAAAGTCCATGGTAGATGTACAAATAAGAACAGGATATTATATATTTTTTCCACCAAATTGATAATGCTTCACATATTTTAATAGAAATAAAAGGTATTACTCCATCATTATGATATGGCCTTCTTGACTTCTATTATGAATATCATCTATGCACGGCATAGAGATTCAGTTTCTACCGGGATAGACAATAAATTTCATACTTTGTCCCAGATATATTAGTACTGTGCCCGATTTACTGGCGAACAATTTATTTTCACTGAAAATATATTTTAATATCTTTTTTTATTCAGAGAGAAATAATCATCCTTACACAATCTAAAATGGTTTAGAAATTTGTCAGGGACACCTTACCACAAGTCATATAGGCGTTCACATAAAAAATGTTGTCTGTTTTTGTTGTTGTTTTACTCAACATTGTTAGAAAACGAGGTTGAATGTAAAGTAAGCCCTTGAATCCGTACAAAAGTCTATCAACTCAATGTAATATGTATCAGATTAACGGGACAGACAAATTATTTTCACACATTATGGATATTTTAGCAACTACATTTTTATTCAACCCCGTGGTTGTGCGATTTGCCGCTATGCTTAATTATTTATGTTACGTACATTGGCCGACAATTTCTTAATTTATAAAAAAGGCTAAATGTTGAGATATTCATAAAAGATGTACGGTAGTTGTACAATACATGTATTACGAGAAGTATGGACCTGTAATTCACGGATATATGGAACTACCGATTTCCCTCATTGATGCCTCAACAGGGGGCGGAGCGTTATCGATAATCGACAGGTTACGCGAGTAGCAGTTACAAATAGTATAGGTACCGTTTTAAAACGTTTAAAAACACATTTTTTGGACTAACTGCTTCCAAAATTAAATCACGAATGTGTTCAGAAAAGGTTGATAAATCTACTTAGCAAAAAAACTCATTTTAGGTATTTTCAGTGATAATTGACTCCGTTGTCACCTTAACACAATCAAGTCTTAGTAGACTACAACGATCAAGTATGTATATGCGACATTTGTGACAGTAAATTGAGGACATATAATCGAGTTTTCTTTTAAGTTTCTTAAATATTGCACTCGGATTTAATATGTCACTAACCTGGTTATCTGTCTGTACTTACATCCATTTCACGAAATATAGGCCGGAAAAGAGCCGACGCATGTTTGTAATATATAGAACAGAGACAGGGTAAGAAGTATTTGTTGGGATAAAAATTCGTCGGATCTTAAATTCGTGGATTGACCTACCCACGAAAACCACGAAAATTCGTGCCCCACGAATAATAATGATTTTACAGTATATCGATAGGTCAACTTGTTTATTTGTTTCCATATATGAGATTAAAATTTAATTATAACTTATTTACCCCTTCTTTGCAAATACTATAATTTGATATTAGAGTTTTAATTAACAAACGCAAAAAGACCAAAATCATATAATTTAACAATGTAATAATATTGAATAAAATATAACTTACCATTTCTAATTCCTTTGTTGTGTTATAAGCATAAGCATTTACTGATGTTTGTTGTAACTGCCAGTTTTGTGGGAAACAGCACCTTTTTGTCTTACAGTGGACAACAGCCACCAAGACGAGAAGATAAAAGCCTTTCAACATCATTGTTGGCTGGATCAGGAGTAAGTAAAAGATGCGAGAAGAGATCAAATAATAACAAGGAGTTGTTTATTAAGTAAAATCATTAAGATTTTTTGACTGATATGATAAATTCGTTTATGCGATGCAGCAAACTTCCTTCACTTTAGATACAAATGAAATATTTTATGAATTAACAACAACCGTTTAAATAGTTAATATAAACATCACAAGTATATAATGCAGACAGCAAAGTTAATGTTCGGTATTATTAGAGATTTTACTAACATACAACAGATACAGTTAAACTATACAGTTTGTCATTTTTCATGCTATAAATTCTATTATAAATAAGATTCTAAGATTTTTATCTATGTTAGATATTAAATTATGATTTTCATTCATATAATGTAAAATTCCGATGAATCGATATCATTATAATTAATATAAGTATGAATAATTTAGCAACATTTCATTTTTTGATAGAAATCAAACCAATTTTTTGGCATTTAATTTGATCTGTACTAGATGAAATATTGTGATTTTTTATCATTTACGCAGATATATTTATATGTAGACCGACAACTTCCATATGTAACAAAATAAAAAAATGAAAACTTACGATTTCACTTGATACTTTACGTCCAGTCTGGGTTTGAACCGCTTTGAACAACAGCGCATTCAAAATGGATATATAGTGCCAGAGAGATAGATATTTATACATGGGAACACAATCACGTGTATATTGTCCACTCATTACGATGTGGATATAAAATTAAAACATTATGAAGGGGGTGGTCAGAATGTATAAATTAAACTTAATAAAAATATATAATAGAAAACATTATAGTTACCTAGATAAAGTTTTTAGAACTGTATTGCAATACAATAATTTCAAGCAAATACTGTTTTAATTGTACTTTAACCGATTTTCTAACGATATTTTTCCTCATTTTAATCTATTTATGAGTTTAGAATCAATTAATATGATCTGTATTTCTAAACGCATTCAAATGAAATACAGTCGATCATTTATATTATCACATCCATTATAACTATAATGAAATATGTAAGAATGGATGACTGACTGTAGATTAAAGTTTACATACATGCATAGCAAGAAAAATGTAAAACATACTGAGGGGAACAATCCTTAATTATGCATCTCATATGCCCCTACGTTATAAAGCTGGTAGTGTTTAATTTCTGTTACTCGGTTAGTTGTCCTTTTATATCTCAACAGCAATATATTATTAGTAACAAATACCTGATTTGCTACTTTTCAACAGGAATGCAATATGGCGGATGTTTCAAAAAATAGTTCATGTTAGATGTTCAATTCTGCATAAACCGGTGTTAGAGGGTGTGGACTGTTGCGTACAATTACCACTAACGTTCATGAACAGGAGGCTGCAGAAGTTTCAATTTTGACGTGTTGGGCTTTGTTTTGGGATTCTGTTTTTCTCTATTTTGTGCCATTTAGAAAGATGTTAATGAAACTTCCTGAAAACCCCATAGACTGTATGTTATTACTGAAATATTTAAACAATAAAGAATTGACGCATAAAAGTCTGATTAAGATCAACTAATCAAATTTAAGCACTTAATTATAAGATTAATTGAGGATAAAGACACTTAGAAATTGAGCTGTCTGTCACATGATATAATTACAACAATTGCTTGATAATAATAAAGATAAAATATGCTTATAAATACATCAAATAAATAGTTTAAGTGTTGCGCCAATAAACTTATTTCTAAAAAAATGTAAAAAGGCGTGTTGTTAAAGAGATATGATACAATTCACGTGAATCTTAAACATACATTGTAAAACTTTTTATTCTTTCTTTTTCCTTTTTGTATCTTAATCATGCGATTTATATTATTAGTCAAATCGATATGTTATTTTACACAATAAAATACGCACAATGACTCAAACTCATTCATTCTGACGTTCACGAGATGACCATCATCCATTTTAACTCCACTCAAGGTAAGGTGGTTGAAACCAAATACAAATGTTATAAACTGGCGTTTTATTGTCAATTATTGATTAGTAACACGAATAAATTGTCTCACATTTTAAAATAAATTGCAAATCATTTCGCTCCATGTTTTGTAAAATATTAACGAAATGGAGATTTAATTTCTGTGGATATTTTTTTGATACATTTTATTCACTTCCTACTTTTATATGTATATAGACTAATGTCTAGAAAATCTATAATACGTTATGAAACGTTTAAAACCTGTACAATGTAAATTTAAAAGTTTGTTTGTTTTTTTGGTTTTTTTTGTTTGTTTTTTTTTGAAAGGCGCTGTTTTTTTCTTGTTTTTGTTGTTGGTTTGTTGTTGTTGTATTTTTTTCTTTTCTTTTTTTATATAATATAAACTGAATAATATATCCTTTTATGTCTCACTTTCCAGTTCTGTCAAAGAACAGGCTCAATCAAACCGAACCGGGCCTGGAACATTTTCAATTTTGTCTTTTTGGGCGTTCTTTAGCAATTCAGTTTTTCTTTATTTTATTCGCTACAATAAGTGAATTCATAGAAGTCATTGACATTTACCAATGGCAATGTTTATACGAATAAATCAGAAGATATTTCTTTTACCTAGATAAATAAAAGTCGTTGGAGTTTATCTTTTAACTAAATTAATGAAATTCGTGTAAGTTCTTTTTAATTGTAAGTAAAATACTTACCTAACAAGTATTTGCCAGTTTTGCAAACTTTATCCGTTTCATGTAAATCACCAATGTGATTGAATATATAAAACGTTTTCTTTATAACGATAATGATAGAAATCAATGTTATCAATTGATATATCTTAATAAAGCAATAAGCTATAAATATCCTATTATTATAGTAGATTTTCAAACCAAAACGCTTCAGAACCTCTTGAATTGTTTTCCTTTAATATAAGTGTTTGTTATTTACAAAACAGTGAACAGGGATGTGTGTGCTTCTGTAATATAGAATACATAGTGAATGAAAAAAATCCTTTAACAAAAACACAGGTCCGATTTCTACAAAACGTGCCAGTATTGTTTCTTTAGGTGTCTGTCTTTAAAAATGTTCAAATAATTTGATTCCATGCAGAAACTGGTTTAACCAAAGGAAATAATAGAAAGAAACTTAAAAACTTTTTCCTCTAGAACCAATATAATTGCCATAGTATTTGTGTTAGGACTTCTTTGGTCTTTTTTACTTTCTCTCGGGCTAGGAAATAAGCATCTGTATTAAATATGCGATCAAGTTAAAAAAGCAAGCGTTTATATTCAAAATTATGGTCATTTATAATTATTAAATTTGATCAATCGATTACGTCAGAAAGTCAGAACCGGTCACACTTGGATACAGCAGTATTCGCTTTCCTGCAAGCTATTTTGGAAGAAAGCAAACAGCAAACCTATGCATGACATGCTGACCACACCAAAGATAACATGATAGCAAGCATTGTGTCACATATTCCTTTACCGTCTACTGTTCTTATTTCCATTAATCGTGTTATTTTTGTTGCAGAAGATTTTCAGACTGTTGTAACCTGTACGCGTTATATAATATTGTCGTTATCGATTAATTCAAGTTATTATTGAAAATAATAAGATATGTACATCTTGATTTGGTATGATGAAAGGCCAGCATTTTATTACAAGCTCTGCTAAATGGATCATGTTTGGTTTGCAGCTTCCACAAAGGAAGTGCTGGTGCTTTTCACCAACCTCCTTGGTGTAAGACTTGAAGAAGATCATCCAGAAAGGGGCACATCAAACCCTTGCAAGGTAGTTTGGCATTTTTACTTTAGATTTTCTTAGCCACAAATTAGTGGAAGAGTAGAACTTAAAGTTGACTATTACACCAGTAGCAGTTAATGCCTCCGGTGGTTTCTTGAACGCCTCCTTTCCTTGTTGATCTTGTTTTTGATATTTCATGTCAAGTTGGCCGGAACATAAGCTGTTCAAACTTCGTGCTCATTTTACAAAGACCTTTGAACTGTGTCACCAAGTTATGTGAAGAACTGGGTTCATTTTTTGACAAATATATTCTTAAGGCCAGACTAGAACGCATATACAATGTTGGTGAAAAAGGTTTGTCTACTTCCAATTTCCCACCAGCTGTTGTCACATGTGAGTGTAAACCTCAAATTGTCACCTTTGATTCAGGTTTGTGATAATAGTAATTGATTATAATGTGCTAGAGATTTTGTTTTCCGGACGCAAGAAAATAGAGAAAATAAGAATCCCTGAAGAAGACCCAACACGGCAAAAGTAATCTAGAAGATAAGACTAGAACTCCTAAATGGTGGAAGTACTCGTGTTGATGGTGTTATCTGCCATTACATTGAAAATCATAAAGTTCCTGCAGGAACGTTCACCTGAGTTCAATGCTACTGTTATATTGCACAAGATTTATATGAATGTTGAGTTGATAGAACGTTTATCATACGAGTCCTGTGTTACAGCCCTTAGATGTTGGGTGCTTTTGACCGTTTGAAACAATTTTGTAATTCTGTGAATAATCGTTTATGCGTGAAATATTATGATATACAAGATCAACAAGGACATGTGACGTTCGATGAACGCAACCCCCAAACGACCGAGCAAGAAGAATCAGTGGCAAAGAGCACAGGAGGACTGTCGATAGAGCATTACACCTTATAACGTTTGTTCACTTAGACGTTCAGCATATGAGAAAGCATTTCTAGTGAACAATTTACAGTCGGATTTCCGCAAAACGGGCATCTATTTATATAACCATACTTTTGAAGATTCTTAGGTCTTACAACAATACGTCAGTGTAAATATTTTAGATACCTGTAGCTAATATGTTTCAAAGGTCCCCTCTACAATTTTTCATCAACAAAGCAACAAATATCACTGCCATAAACAACATCAACCAAGAAAAGAAAAATCTGGAAACAAACTGATCCCTTGGAAGCATTAATCACATCAAAATTACATGAAAATTGCAGACTCGGTTTGATTGAGTCTGAGAATGAGAGATAATGAAAAAGTGCAACATCCCTCACGCCTTCTAGCACTGGCTTCAATCAGGGATGTTAAATTTTCGATCCTTAAAGATAGTTCAGCACGACATTATTGTTGTGTTTGTGGTACGTTTAGTTTTTACTTTTTTGACATTTCTCTAGTTGGGTGGTTCCAATATTTCACCCTTAGGTTATGTTGCCTGCTTTTTAAATTTGTCTTTTGACGTCATATCTGTGATTTACAGGCTTCATAACCTCTGTTCCCCTTTCAAAATTCCATTTTATTTAGTTCCGCCCATTGTGCACACACATTCTTTTACTTGGGGACCATACGCCGCTTTTCATGGAATGACACGAAAGTGTCGCATTGAAGATTCCATGATAACCGCCGTATGAATACATCTGCGGATGTTTCTAAATTCAAAATTTCACTATTACCATGATTTAATATTGAATTCTGCTTGAAGCAGTGCTAGGGGGCGTGGGCTGTAACTTGTACTTTTCCATTATCGTCCATGAACAGGCTCAATCAAACCAAGCCTGCAACATTTTCAATTTTGTCTTGTTGGGCTTTCATTAGGGATTCTTTTATTTTCTCTCTATTTGAGCGGTACTCAATTCTTAAAACATAACAGCGCTGGCATCAATGATCCCGCAGGACCAGAAAAATATTACAACACTGAAGTGAAGTACAGGGCAACTTTCAACAGCTGTCACACAACACTTGGCACCTGCTGTTGTGAAGTATAAAAATCTGGAAACAAAGTGATCCCTCGCAAGCATTTATCACAACAAAATTACAAGGTACATAAGTACTATTGTCAGTGGCAATGTAATAACTGAGGAGTCTACAGTTGACCAGGTTTATTTATTTATTTTTGTTAATAAATTGTTGGTCCATGTTACTATTATTATTGGTTAATGTAAGTACACTATTTACATGTGCAGTCACCAATAGTGTGAAAATAAATTAGTCGATCACTAGCGTCGTTTGAGGGCACTCCTTTAAAAAAATGACCGCTTCCGGGTGAAGTGGTACTTTAACGGTTCCGGAAAAGATAAACTGGAATAACGGGTTAAATGAACCTATGTCATAACTAGTTAAGACAGTATGTACAGAAACTATAACGTGATTTTACATAACACAGGCAAAACAATCCTTAAAGGTGTAGAAACTGGTCACTCAAGGATATACATGTATTCTACATCATTGTGAAACCTTATTTTCATTTCTTTGATTGATATAAAGGTAAATCGATATTCGGCGTTTCTGAAATAAATAAATGTTACTTTATGAAAGAAGATATAAAAGTAAGGTAAACAATTTACGTGAAAAAGAAAATGATATTACATAAGCCTTTGGCAATTTCTTTTGTTTATAAAGTGAATAGAGCTTTTTCTTATTTCATTTCAATTGTCCAACACTTATAATAAGCTTTTTTCAAATGTACAAATGATATATTTGAGAATTAATATCGGTCACATCAGTGTTAAAGACCGCTTAAAACAATATTATTTAAATTCTACTCTAGCGTTTTTTTAACCTAAATTAAGGTTTGTTCCATTGAAAGACGGACAGGCGGACAAACAATACCATAACATAATACGTGATGAAGGTCTTAGGCGTATAAAATAATATGCCTGTGCAATACTGATCGATAGTAGCAGTTCCGTTGATTAAAGTGACATTGTGCTCATTTTTTCACTGTCAATTTGAGTTGAATAATTAATATTTTTCCAAAGATTGACTTTTAAAAAGATAATTGACCAACGACTGATAAAGAAAATTGTTTATGATACAATATATAAACGATCTAAATTATAAAAATACTGCGCCACTCTTTTTCAGAATTGCACATTACCAATATTTATAGACAATTCCGTTGGTTATGTGGATTATTGATTATTGGTTATTGATTATTTTTTCTTATTAAAATGTAAAATTGAACCAATTAAGACAAAATGTCAAGTTATTATAAGTCCAAGTAGCGTAGTGGTTAGGAGCGTTCAAGTCTCGAGATTTAATCTGCAAAGGGGTACAATAATCTATTTTATGCAGGAATACATGTACTATAATGTAATCCGGTTACAACTTATATCAAATACTTCTGTTCATAAATCAGATATTTAATTAAGTGTGTACGTTTCCTTATAACGGATGAAGTGTTTTAAGATCTACTATGCTCAAATTTGATATTCGAAAATATTGATAACTGTTACACAGTCTTTTTGTAAACATAAAATAAACAGGTTTTCACTTCATACAAAGTAGTTGTATTAAAATTCTACAAACTATAGTAGGTCACAATATGAATATATAGTATCATTAAAAAACTGGCAGTTTTTTTAAGAAAAGACCGAGGGACGGATATGCCGATCCGAACCGCAAACATATGTCAGATATTTTTTCTTGCATATTCTACCATATTCCATTATACTTTAAATTCTTTATCTTTATTTTCAATGAAAATTAATATCATTACAACCGTAACTACTTTCTTACAACAGCGTATGAATTACAACTTCATTCATAACGGTAAAATGACGTCATCCTAATCGTGCCATTGTACAGTACGCGACTCATCTGGAACCCCCATAGCAGATGAAATTTCCGGCATGGAAACGCCAGTCTGATATGCAAGAAAGCGACTTTCAGCTTAGCTCAACACACTAAGCATTCATCAAATAAAAACAGCATGACAAAACTCCAAAAAACTGTAGTTTAGCTGTGACTGATTACTAGCACGAAATATAAGGCTGTGTTGTCAACGCGTACATGGTATGTGGGTAAATGCTTGATGGGTAACAATAACTATCTTTATAAAACCATGAATATTTTTTTCTATTTTGTATGTGTCACCCGGTGAGAAAAATGTGTAGCCTGACCAGGATTTGAACCCGGGACCATCGGAATACCATACCGCGACTCTTACAACTGAGGTTTCCGGCTGCTTACGCATCACCCCTAAAGAGTGGACAGTTTTGAACCGTGACATATGTTTTGCAAGAATATTTATTTATGCATTTCTGTCTGATATAAAGATATGAATATTTCATTGAGAATGCGGATAGGTTCGAGTTACGTCATCAAGCTAATCATATATTCACGAATTCGAAAACCTAGCTAAACGCCGTTTTCTGGTACTTTCTGTACACAGCTCTGGGGAATTTACCTAAAGGGCGTGTAGTAACGATCTGTAGGTTTTTGGCATTGTTTTGGATTAAAGTGTTATTAAACAATTATTTCTTTGTAAGAAACTAATTAAATATCACTGTATGAATAATTCAATGTAAAAAATAAAGTAAATACATAAGTTAATGCAGAAAATATCTCTATTTTCATGGCAGATGCAACAACGACTGTTTTAATTACTGATTTTTATTACAAATAACTTTTGTTTTGGGAAAATTTGCGAAAGATAGTACTGGAACATAGTTAATTTTCGAACACATCAAATTTTCCTACCATAGACGGTAAAATAATAATAGAAAAGGGAAATATCACATAACAGTGTTATATACTTAATTGGGTGTAATTTACCAGAGCTAAATTCGTAACGTACCGGAAAACGGTGTTTCGCTAAGTTTTCAAAAAGGTCAATACATTCAAGCACAAATCATCACGGAGACGACGTCACATATTGCGGCTGTACTTTTCAGTGGAAGCAACTGCTGTGGGGGATAACAAAAATAAGAAATTTTTATAGTACACAATTCTATATAAAAGTGTTTTCGTCTAATACAAAAAAAATGTTGTTGTTCTTTTTTTTCTGGGGGGTGGTGTTTTTTTTCTTCTTCAAAATGCTTATGACAAATGTTTTTGAAATGATTTGGAAGTTTCTTACTATGATTTATTCGAATGGCATCGAACTATTATGTTATGTGTATATATGATATTATTCGTATGACTCTGCAGGAGGGTAAATAAGGTTTTTTATGAGATACGAAAATTTGTAAATATGATTTCATAAACGAATGATGATGGGTGAATAGCTGGAGGTTTTATTAAATCTATTTTGATGCTTTTATCTTTGTTATGTAATAATTAAAAAATGTTAATAAGTTAAAGAAAACACTAATAAAGAGAATCCTTAAATATGTTTAAAATGTAAAATTTGCAAATTTGCTTGCCGTCGCAATAGACCGTAATACTTTTAACACTCTGTGCGTTTCAGGCATGAACATGACTCTGAAATAAGCGATATACAAGTTCATATTCCTCTTGTAACTGCATGACACAAATATCGCCACTGACGAGATTCAAGCTCATAATGGTGACTATTAAGCTAATGGTATTTGATTGTCCACTAAGCAAGGTTACTTGCACATATACTTTTGTTTTCTTCTGACTATTTAAACAAGATAGAAAACAGAAACTATTAGGTTAAATTCATCTTTAGTTTTATTATGGTTATGTTTTTCAAAGTGTCAGTTACAGATTCAATTATGATCAATATAGTAAGTTTGATAGATGAAATTGTGTTTGATTAGAAAGTAAATTGTAAATATATATTTGATTTTTTATAACGATCTAAACATGTTAACAAAGTAATGATCGAAGCATAAAGTTACAAATTTTCAAAACATATGCTATAACTGTGGCAAAAATATGATTGTTTCAATAATTTATTACTGTACGATGATGTAGCACAGAGAATGTTTAGTACATGATTGATTTGTAATTTACTGTATGTTGCAATATCAGAACTGTTAAAGCCTTCATAATTATAATTTGTGACACTCAAACTGTCCAGTCATTCCAGTTGAAATAGATATAAGATCAATATTCGGCAAACATTTCTCTCCAGAACATCTTTTCGTGCAATGGTTCTTTAATGAATTCGTAGTCCTGTAAAAGAAATTTTAAATTCATCTTTCTTTTTATTACGATATGGAGGAAAGTGTATGTTATCAGTTACAATTTGCGTTGACATTATTGACGATAAGAAATAATTAAGTAACGCTATATATAATTGTCAAATCAAGCAACAAAAACACTCTGTTATACGATCCAGAAAAAGGTTATACAGTATACTATTGTTTGTTGCAATATTTACCCTCAAGGCATGTTTGCAGATTGCAGGAACATGGAACACTGATGGATCTGGTATATCTGGTAGATAGTTTTCGAAACTAGCTGCATACAGGGACATTGTACCTGAAACAATATGGCATAGTATCGAATGTGAAACATCATCAAAATGATTCATGGTCATCCTTTATTATTAGAACAATACAAAGCTTCTTTACTTTATATAAAAACCAGTCTTAGTGTAAATAATTAAAAAAATAATAACTATATAATTACAAAAACCTCTGAAGATTTTTCGAGTTTCTTATTTACGTATCTTGAAAACCATATCATCAGGTAGCTGACAAACATTTTAATAATGGAATTGTTTTGTCGTTTCGTTAATTCTTTTGTTTCTTTATATTTAAAACATTTATAAATTGCTCATGATAATATTTTTGTAATTATTGTAAAAGTGTACCTGTGGTTGGAAATCCAAATGACGTTACGCTGACCGGAACACAGTTGTCAGTTACGCCGACGTAAGTGGAGACTTTTGCACTGTATCCGTACTCGGCAACGTTAATGCTTGGTTTGAGTCCGAGTCTGTATTGGTCGACCCTTTTCCATGTATCTATTGTAGAATTTTTTGAAACTTTTGACAATTCAAAGTATTTTTTCAAGTACAATACATAATAACTTCCTTTGGATTTGTTACATGCATCAACTACAAGGATAAAAGCATGCCAGCTTACTACTTTGTTATCTTAAAAGTGGACCACTTTTGTTTTTGTTTTTTTTTATCTTGGGACAATCCTTCTTGTTAATTATAGTTATTATGCATTGTTGAGTACCAGATGAGAATCTACATAGGAGGACAGTATCAAAGTTTAATTTAAGTTTGGTTTTGCACATAGGAGGACAGTATCAAAGTTTAATTTAAGTTTGGTTTTGCACATAGGAGGACAGTATCCGAGTCTAATTTAAGTTTGGTTTTGCACATAGGAGGACAGTATCAAAGTTTAATTTAAGTTTGGTTTTGCACATAGGAGGACAGTATCCGAGTCTAATTTAAGTTTGGTTTTGCACATAGGAGGACAGTATCCGAGTCTAATTTAAGTTTGGTTTTGCACATAGGAGGACAGTATCCGAGTCTAATTTAAGTTTGGTTTTGCACATAGGAGGACAGTATCCGAGTCTAATTTAAGTTTGGTTTTGCACATAGGAGGACAGTATCCGAGTCTAATTTAAGTTTGGTTTTGCACATAGGAGGACAGTATCCGAGTCTAATTTAAGTTTGGTTTTGCACATAGGAGGACAGTATCCGAGTCTAATTTAAGTTTGGTTTTGCACATAGGAGGACAGTATCCGAGTCTAATTTAAGTTTGGTTTTGCACATAGGAGGACAGTATCCGAGTCTAATTTAAGTTTGGTTTTGCACATAGGAGGACAGTATCCGAGTCTAATTTAAGTTTGGTTTTGCAGCTATGAACGTAATTGAATCAATATTGTACTCAACGATTTATAACAACATCATTGTTTAATGCGGCCTTATAGGGACAAACATATAATTAGACAAACATCCAAAATGAATAGTATGTTGTACTGCATTAAAATATATGTACTTAGAGTATGATAGGGATATTTATATGCATTTTTGTACTTCTGAAAAATTATAAAAATTAGATCAAATAATGATCGTATTGTGCTTACGTTGGAAGTTCATTCGGTACTTTAAAAGTAAGAAATACGGTTCATTTTGAAGTATATGTAATAAGACTTTTTTAGTTTCGGATATTTAAGAGAAATGTTCTTACCAGGGATGCAAATTGGTGTCGGTGGAAAATGTCCTGGCTCAAAGAGTGTGCACTTTTTATTGTTTAAAATCTTGAAACCAACATGCTGTAAGAAATAATAATATCAAATATTAAAGACGAGAAAATGTTTGTACGTACGGTTTTTATGATGGTTAAAAATCAAAACAGACATCGAAGTATGTGTTATCGGAAATGACATAAATCTTAACAATGTGATAGGAAAACAAAAAAGATTAATTTTCAATAAATTACTCGCATTTTAACCCCTTAATTAAACGTTTATAATACAAATGTAGTTATATTGTATTTGAACAAATTTATAAATTGCACGTCCTGTATTCTGTTTAGATACCATTACAGTATGAAGTTACAAGGACAATTAATTGTTCACACAATTAAAGACGCAATTATTTTTATTGTTAAAAATTTCTAATGCAAGGGCTCATTCACATATCATGACATCAGAGACTTCGAATTCTTTCATTTTATGGCATTATCCAGCCACCTTGCATCGGTTTTTGTTTGTTTTGTTTTTTTAGGTGAAAGCTCGTATTTGATGCAAAACCTGAAGGTCTCTCCCAGAAGAAAAGCTGGAAATTTACCACCTGGCCTTAACCTTGTGACTTTAAATACAATAAAAATAAAGTAAATGTATCGATGATTAGAGAAAAACAAATAAATAAACGAAATTAACAATTTATGTTTACTTACCGCATTGTAGAGCTCAAGTATTGTTAAATTATCTTTAGACGTAAAGAAATCTTGTCTTATTTTCTGTTCCACACTGTCAAAGAATATGTCAACGGTGAACTGAATGAGAAAATGAAATACTCAAAGAAATCAACGGATGAGCCTAGATTCATGTTTGTTTGCAATTTGAATTTTAGCACTGCAAAAATGCTTAACATTGTACATGATTATCTATATGCCTACTTGTGATTTTATTTTTAGCATTCTGCATATTTCAATACATGAAACTTATGCATAAGTGCAAATTACAATATAAGTAGGTACTTGTATCATATTCATATGTCATGAGTGAAAATAAAGAACAAAGAATGCCATTAAACAATGTAATATAATGTAAAAATAAATATATGTTACCATTTGTAATTCCTTTGTTTTGTTGTTAGCGTAAGCACTTATCGATGATTCTCGTAACTGCCAGTTTTGTGGGAAGCAGCACTTCTTTGCCTTACAGTGGACAACAGTCACCAAGACAAGAAGACAAAATCCTTTCAGCATCATTGTTGGCTGGATCACGGCCTAAACAGATGCGAAGTGGCAAATTAAATAGAAGAACAAGAACTAATTTAGATATAAGCAATAAGATCATATTAAAATCTATGTTATTATTTCGTTTATTTTGTTTACTATATAGGTTTTCAAGATTAAACTTGGTAAAGAAATATGAACCAATAATAAGTGAAAATCAAAGTTTATGCATTATCGCTTAAATAGTTTATTTTATTTGAAAAACTATAAAGTCATACGAAATTATTAAGAAAAGTGTAAAAATTAGTGGTTTGTGTTTTAACAGCCAGATTTAACAACAATATGTATCTCGTTTAAAGATTTTGACGGCAGGTTATATGGCCCTATAGATATATATATTTATATTTGTTAGTTTTTTTGTTTTTTTTTGGCATATACCGCATAACATATTTATTTACGCCCATGTAACATGTCAAAAATCTTCATAACGAACATGGAACATAGCAATCTTCCTCTACTTGGGAAAAAGTAAAATAAACTATATAAATTTACAAAAACCCTTAACATAGTTTTAATACTATAAACAAACTAAGTACTTTGTATTTAGTTATTTGTTAGCATATTAGCATACAATTTAATTAAGATTTAGATTTTTACTGCATGAAATATTGAGAGTTTACATCACAATCACAATATATTTATACTATAAACCCCCATATTAAACAACATGAAAATACTGATTACTTACGATTGTTCGATACTCTATGTTTAGTCAAGATTTGAATCCGCTTTGCATATCAGCACATTTATAAGTTTATATATACATGTATAGATATAAATACATGGAAAACCAATCACGTGCATATTGTTCATTGTTAAAGATGCATGTATGAAACATAAGGGGATTGGTCAGAATGTACATGTTTATACTGTTATATTAGAAAACATTCTAGCTACTTATGTATTTTTTTATAATTAACAATGATTTAATTTAAAACAATATCATTTGAGCCGCGTCACGACAAAACCAACATAATTGGTTTGCGACCAGCATGGATCCAGACCAGCCTGCGCATCCCCGCAGTCTGATCAGGATCCATGTTATTCGCTATAATTTTCTCTACTTGTAAAAGGGTTGGTAAGCGAACAGCATGGATCCTGTTCAAGCTGCGCGAATGCGCAGGCTGGTCTGGATCCATGCTGGTCGCAAACGCACTATGTTGGTTTTCTCATGGCGCGGCTTATTTATTTTAAGCAAACATGTGCAAATTGTTTTATTTGTGCTTTTGAAGATACCTCATAAATCTATGTTCCTAATTTCTTCTAAATTCATTCAGTAATAACAGCCATTGGGTCCTTCGGTTATTTGTAAAACAGTGCATTTTTATATGAAAACAAATTCGCAGTACAAGCAAGAAAATGATAAATTAATTTTATTTTAAAATTTGACATTATATTGTCTGATTGGTAGTGAAGAACAAAATTTAAGCACTGTTTCTTAAATAAGATTCTTTTTAAAATTTAACCGCCTCCGTGGTCGAGGGGTTAGAGTCGATGACTTCTAATCCAGTTACCTTTCTGGCGTGGGTTCGATCTCCGGGAGATGCTTTGGTAGTTTAGAACGGAGAAAGCTAGTACTTGTGACTCTCCAGGAACAATGGTTAGGAAACTACCCGCCTATATGACTGAAATACTGTTGGGAAAAGGCGTAAAATGAAACAAACAAACACAACTTTTTTTTAAATTTGAATATGATAAATTTACTAAGCGATCATATACCTGAAATTCAACATATTTAGTATCACTATAATGAATATACATGTAGTTAGACTTTATAAGATAGGATGATTGACAGTTTGTCACGAATATTACATCATAGAATAATACAATTATACAATACAATACAACATTCTTTTATTTCGTCAATACAACAGACAATACAATAATCAAGTAAATAAATACATATGTGGGTATCAAATAGAAAACAGTTACATGTTTTACGTCAAGTATGATAGATAATCAAGCGAAAATATTACATATAAAACACTAGAAACATTTTTAAACCTTAAAACTTAACATAAAATTAGGTATGGGGACAGCGATTTTTAACTGTCTAATTTCTATAGGAGATAAAGTGAAGCACGTGTAAAGCGTGTGAAACTTATTTACGTCATTCATTACTATTACTATGAAATGCGATTGAAGTAAAAAAAAAACTAAGGTGTAAATGTGTTCATGATGTACGCTATATATATGATATGATTTTTTAGGATTTCTTAAGAAGTTCTTGGTATTTAATGATCAAATATTTAGGAGTGTAACTCATTAGTTTATACCTAATACAAATGATATCAAAACAAATCGTTAACTCCTTTTGGGTTGTTTTTTGTTTAAATCTTAGTAAATTAAAATTAACATGTTGGGGTTTTTGTACTTTTCAGCAAAAATGTTAGAATTTATGCAATGTAACGAAATTGTAAATCAAACGTCTTGAACATCCCCCGGATAGTCTTTTGTTATCTATATTATTTAAATTATATAGACCAGGATGTATACAAAACGGATTTAGATCAATCATAATATGAGAGTACTAAATAATAATAATAATAATAATAAACTGCGGATAAAGACACTTAGAATTGAGCTGTCTACAACAATATTAAAGTACAACAATTGTTTAATAATTGTAAAGATATCATTGTTAAATATACAGGAAATCCCGAATGTGAATTAAACTGATGAATTATTAAAGTGTTGCGTTTTTGTTTGGACTTTCCAATGTGTTTTTAGAAAATATTGTTTAATGGAAAATACATACTTTTTTAATAAAGCACGTCATTAAAATGATATTATGATACATTCATATGATTGTTAAACAGACATTGTTCATCACAACTTGTGTCCTGATCTTTATCATCAGATGTCGGTTTTTACAATCGAATCAAAAGGAATAATATGAGTCGCGTACCAACTCTATTACAAGTAAAAAGTGATAGCGCAGGCTGGTCTGGATCCATGCTGGTCGCAAACCCATTATGTTGGTTTTGTCGTGACGCGGCTCATATACGTTACGTTGTTTAATACAATATACTACGCCTACTGCCTCAAACTCAGTAGTCCTGATATTTGTATGATTGCCATCATCCAATTTTATCTTATCTCTATGTGGAAGTAAAAGTATATACTAGCGAAGACGTTTGCCAACGATTTCTCAAACTGTGTACTAGTCCAAATATATTGCCGTATTGTGCCCGCTCAATTGTTAATAACCTGTTTATTTTATATCTTAAAGTTAGTTATAGCGGAAACACAGAATAAGACCTTATATAATTATATTATTATGGTTTGACAGGAGTCGTACTCGTTTTTGTGAGGCGCTTTCAACGCTTTCAGTAAAATTCATTCGGATAATGTTGTCGTTTACGGCTTTCATCATTTTCGTTACATGGAAAAGGTCAAACACACTTACAAGGACAAATATACAAAGGGAAGACAACAATATGAGAATATGCAATAAATATATTGTTCATAAAGGACAATCTGAATTAAACAAAATAATTGCAAAGTTAAAAACAAAATTATACTTGATCAAACTGTAGATCTTTTAAAGAAGAAATGAAGGTTTCACGGAGTAATTTCCTATTGAAATTTATATATATTTATAATAGCTATCATCTTAAACTACATTATGGTTTATGTCATATATATAATATTGTTTTATCATCTGTACTGATCATGTTTAAATAATTCAGACTGTTCGTTTATAATAGCTTCTAGTTTTCTTGTTCTGTCATCATTTCCCAGATCGGTCTTTGACCCAATGTCATCCATGCGTCATCGTTTTCCTGCAATTGTAAAGAAAGATATGAAATAATTAAATCTTTAATTTCGCCGAAAATTTTGATTGATATCAAAGTTGAAAAGCTGACTTACTAGTAGAGAGTCAGCCTCGTATGTTAAATTTATAGGGTGTGATCATTAACTATGTCATATGCAATAACCTTATATTGTTTATATATTACTGTGATAATTGATAAAGGACAGTCCGAGTTGAAAGTTCACTAAACAATTGCATAATTTGGAAACGAACTAAATGTTTGTAAATGTTTCCTATCAGAAAAGAATGTTTCACGGAGTTATTCATATACATGTACATTTAAAATAGCTATTATTTTTAACAACATTGTGTTTTATGTCGTAGGCTTAATCTTGATTTTAATGTATCATCTGTTCAATTATCCTTTTGGTGACGAGTAATGAACACGGGATAAAGAATATTGATTATAAGGTTTTCACAGACCCAATATGAAACTATATGGGGTCTAAAGGAATTAAAAGAGGGTTTCCTTCTTAAATTTTCATAGTTGATCAGTGGCAAACACAGTAACTGATTTCTTTCATCGACCATATTCCATAACTAAGGATATTTGACTCTGACGAGATGGATTGGATATAACTCATTTATGAAACATACTTCTATACTATGTTAAATTATCGATACATGGGCTTGTTTATTCGTACAATATCTGTTAAAGTTGTCTGTAATTGACATGGTTAAGGTCTACAAGGAAAATAAGTTTCTTTATATCATAAAAGGTGACCTGCCACAATGTGACTGCTCTTATCCAATGAATAATACAAGAAAAAAAATATTTATACTGTTCATACCTCGTTGTGCGGTTTACATATTTTCGGGACGATGAAGACTTTTGGATTCGGTTTTATCGGTAGGTAGTTCTGAAAGAATGTAGTTACCCATGCCGAAAACGCTGCAAATATCACATTTTGTCACTTAAAGATTAGCATATATTAATTTTCAAAAACAAAAATGTTGAGACAATGTAAAGAAATATAACATTAGTTTTTTGGAATTTTAGAACATTTTACTGATTATACACAATTATGTGCAATGAAGTCAACAACATAAATTATAGTTATGTTGACAATTACATTTAAGTCTAGAACTGTGACTCATTTAGAATTACTCTACCTAATTCTAACGATGAAATATAAACAGACTTAAGAAAATACTAGTTTTATTCCGTGAGTGTATATATCATACCTCCAGACTCTGTTGCAAACATCCTAAACGAAACCGGAGATTTGCCGGAAGCACTAAGCACGAATTTCATACCGGAGAAATAATACTCAAAGTCCACCACACTGATACTTGGTTTGTACCCAAGACGATACGGTTTAGAGACATTTGCATTATCTGCAGGCAAAAACAAAAATAAACATTTTAACTTGCATGCACAGCATAAACATGTGATCAACTCATTCCATGCTGTTCGCTATCAGTTTCTCTACTTGTTAAAAGGTTTAAAAGCGAACAGCATGGATCCTGATCAGACTGCGCGGATGCGCAGGCTGGTCTGGATCCATGTTGGTCGCAAACCCATTATGTTGGTTTTGTCGTGACACGACTCGTTTTGACTCGGTAAACATGTAGACCAGGATGTAACTGAACAATTTCAGAGCATTTATAAGATAAAACAACAACAACTGATGTATTAATTTAAAAGAAAATCGTTTGTTTGTCTTATCTGTACGGGTGTTTCTACAACATTGTATTTAAGCTGTAATTTTGTACTACTGGCCCGTTCGCTTAGCTCATTAGGCAGAACATCTTAAGTTTGCAATCCAAGGTTCGCTAGATCGATTCTCGGACGAGGCGAATATCCGTCAGTCACAATTTATCATTGAAATATAGTTTAATGGTCGTTTGCTCACATCGCTGTTTCAGACATCATGGGATATTAGTAGTCTGGTTAATTTTCCAGGAGAGCCGGTTAGGTGGCGCAAAGATTTGACAAAATTTGTTACAATCGGAAAACAAACCATACAAATAAAGCAAAGTTTTTAACCGTGATACATCAAGAAATTATTGTTCACAAAACTTAAGTTATGTAGTCGAATTATCAAACAGCTAAAGAAATGTGAATTGTTGCTGGCAATTCTGCAAGTATCAATACTTTTTACTTTACTTGTAACTAGCGATATATCTTATTTTCAATACAACATTGAATAAGTTTCATCAAATTGGCTTCTATTTGGTTTGGACGTCAAAATTTCGGTGAAAAGAAAATCAAATTACAAGTTTACTTTGACTTATAACACATCTCTAATCGAAAATCATTTCAAAGAAGGTAGTTTCGTGAAAACCAAAGAGCTAGCAATGCTATGTGACAAGATTAAGATACTTAATAACATATCAATATATATCAATTAACGCTAAATTACGCAAGTACCTCCAATATTCGGCAGGGGTTAACATTGGCCTTTTAGCGTTTACTTGAAATTCAGAACTACCTTATAAAAATTAATCATAAGATGTTGAACTCAAAAAAGGGTCAGAACTCAAATTTCTGGCTTTTAAATCTGACTCATATTAATGTTTCAAGCATGAAATCAAATCGCTTTTGGGAGCTGGAAGTGAAACTAGAAATATATGTTCATCTTGGATTTATCTTCTAAAAGCTAGAATAAATTAATCTAGTAACATAACTAACTAACTATTTGTTGCACAGAGTTTATCAATGTTCACAAATTTATTTCAAAGAGCTAGTTATTGCAATAAATTTCAATTACCTGGAGTGCACCACTTCATTTCCTTTCCAATATGAATTTTTGTGCAGTTCTTACCATTCAAGATAACGTATAGGACTTTCTGAAAGAAAGGCAATATGAACAAGAAAATGATATTATATATTTTAAAATCGTGCAGGGCTTTTCTATCATTAGCATACACATGTGGCAGATGCTTAAACAAATTTTACAATCATCTATCTTTTGTATGAAGGCATACTCCTTTTTGTTGTTAAATTACTATCTTTCTTCTTTTTATCCATTTTTTATATTTAGTTTCCTGCTTTCAATGTCGCTATTTTTTAATTATAACATAGACGTTGACTTAAATGATTTTCAGCTGCTCTGATGCATTTTTATATACAGATTCAACAAGAGCGATCAGTGATCACATGTGTCGCCCCATGATAGCCAATTGCATGTTGCAGCTACTGTGTAGCAAGAGACACACAACTCATTAGCAGATAAGAACGCATTTTTATTCAAAGGCAATTTCCCAGTCAAAATTCATTCAACCAGTAAACCAGTTAAACGTTCGCAAGTACTTGAGGAACGAATCAGTCTTGTAACATTTCATTCAAATTTCATCAAAAGATATAAGAAAAGTACTTCGGTGAAATCTCAAAAATAAAAAATTATAAAAGGGCCATAACTCTGACAAAAATCAGTGATTCTTATAATGCCGTCAATATGCACAGCGAGACGTGGTACTTAACTTTATGTAAGTAGATCCGGACAAGTTTTGTAAACGACGGACATACAGACATTCGATAGAGAGGTGATTCCTTATATGTCGCTCCGTTTTGTTTTTTGTAAGATACCTGAATTCAAATCTCAGGTATTTCAATATTCATTGGCTAAATGAAATACTGTCTATAAATCCAGACAGAACTCAGAACCTACTTTTATAACCGCTTGACCAGCTTGGAATTGTTATGAGCATATCTTACCTGTTTAAAGAGAGCCAGATAGGTCAGCTCTCCAGACGGTAGGACTATATCCATACGCATTTTGTGGACTGTTCGGTCAACATAAATACGACCTGCTTCCTGTAGATTAAAAAAAGGTTTTACCATCTTGAAAATAAACCATAACTACAGACCCTTTATGTCTTTATTGAACAATACGAGTACATGTTTTAATTGTTCATTGGAAACAACACGAAAGATTATTTATCGTTTCGCTTCGCTATAAACTTAACAAAAAGACATCATGATCTAAGTTAAATGCGGTAATCAATTCCACTGAATTAATTCGAATCAGGCATAAAGAACATTTGCTATTTTCTCATCGAGAATATTATGAAATGTGCATAGATAAAGAAAGCAATGAAAGACTTATAATGAAAATATGTCTGCAAAACCATGTAGTACAACAGTTGGAATGACGCTGGCCTTTTAGCCCGGCTAGGTTATCGCAAATGAAAAGCATTGCAAACATTTTCAAAACGTGCCGCTTAATCAGGATACAAACCAGTGTTCCTCTTTGATCATGTGAGGTGCCATGATGAAGTTTATGTATTGGCATTTAAAAATAGCACGGAAAAATAACATTTTTATGACAGTGAGGAGCAGAGCATTAGAAAATGAATCTAAGTCCCTCTCCGTCTTTAAATAAAAAAAACAACTAAGAATAAAAAAAATAATTATGAATAAACCCTCGAAGAATTTATAGAGAACAAAGGCTCTTTAATATACTCATTAAAACGTAATGGCAAGATAAAGACGGAAGTGCACGATAAAGAATAAGAGATGAGAGTACAATAAATGAAGCAAAAAAGATTGGATAGGATAATAGAAAACAGCGACATGGTAGAGAAAAGAAATAAAAAGGTGACACTAATGATGACTTTGATGAAAGGCAAATGTATCCTTGTTGTTCAACAAATGACGGTGACCACTTAGAGCGGATAAGTTGTTACAAAATAAAAAAATATTTTACTTGAAACGATTGTTTAATAGTTATATAACAGTTTTAAAACCGATGAAATCTACAATAGTTTCCGCTAAACAAAATGTAATATAACTTGCTCTAAATTTATTGTCTTTTTTTTCTAAAAAAAAGCATTCAATTATATATCTATTTTTCAAACAATATACATACTTGACTTATCTGCACTTTTCCGTGTCCATCACTCGACACGTTTACAGCGCTTAAATCACTTTGCCAATGTTCCGGAAAACAGAAATGTTTCCTCGGCGGTGGACACTCGCACCACGCGATTGTACATATAATTCCAATTAAGTATGCAACTTTGAGCATCATGGTTTCTGCAAAATATGAACACTATCATTGTGGCAATAGTTAAGAAAGTTTTTAATTATATGAATATTAAAATGTATAAATGTATAAACAAATCAACGTTTCTATCTTTTTTTGGTGAGGGGAAGAGTAATGTTATTAGACTGTAGTGACATTCTAGATGTCCATTACTTTAATTGTATGTTCCTTATTTATATTTTGACCATTTTACAATAAAACTTAAAGCAGGACGCCTCCAGATTCATGCTAATATTTATGAAAATTTTGAAAATGATGTAAAAAAGTAAAATATTGTTAAAGTGAACAAGAAAAAAAATCATATTACCAACGTTACTTACATTCCATTTAAATAACCAAAAAAAGGTCACAATATGCGAAGATAGCCCTAACTGCGATAGTAACACAGTAGAAATAAAGTTAGAAATACTCGTACTGTAAAATCGGTCATATATCGCATATTACATAGACATTATTACTATCATGTGAAATATTTTTACTTTTCCTTAAATCTCAGTATTTCTTTCGAAAATACCTTTTTTCTAAATTACCTTTTAATCACATAGAGACATGCAGCATTAAATAACAGTCATGAGTTTTCCAAGATACAACATAATTATTATATACGAGCATAAGCATGATATGTATGCTTTTAGGATAAAAAAACAATGTATATGCCCTTAAAAGTGCCAATCTAAAGATTTAAGATTTACTAAGCTAATCTTTTATACATGTAGCAGAAATTTATAAACATTTTTACTGGATTTGGCCGCAAAACAAATACAAGTTGTTTGAATGACATTGTATATTTTATTTAAATTGTGTTACGTACAGTGTTTTAAGTTTAAAATGTTAAAATATATTATCTGCCTGTTTACTTAATATATATTTATTTAACTTTAGAAACTGTATAGGAATAATCATAATTTTTCAAATTTTGAGCATGATATGTACTAATAATATTGTAATTTGTTTATTTAACGAATTCTTAATCCAGCTATAGTTGTTACCTATTTAATTTTCAGCTATAGCATCGAGGTAAATTAGATCCCATTCCCATATTCTCCCGTTTACCCAAAACGTGCATCAATATTTTACATTTATATTGTACAATATGTGTGGTACTTGCCGGTAAACAGAATCTATTTTTTTTATTATATTTATTTATTTATTTTTTTATTTTTTTGGTACTCTCATGTCAACATATCAATTTTATATTTAACAGCTAAGTAAAACATTTATTATAAAATAGAAAAGAATAAAGCATCAATGCATAAAGTATTTTATTTAACTAACGATACATTAAGAAAAATATTAATTGTAGCATTACCTTTGTCAATGTTACCTCTCGAGCCCTTCTCTAGCCGTCCGTTAACATTAGATGACTTTGTCTGACTCTTTTTATAGGCATATTTAGACAAATGCTACTTGAAAGAAATCCTGTTCAATCGATTGAACAATTGTGTTTTAACAATTTCATGAATTCACACTTTTGAAAATAATGGGGGCTATTTTTTATTATGTTTAACAGTGTCTTTATCCGGGTTTGTATATTTTAAACAATATCAAATAGTCTCGTGATAGGTATGTTTGATTGTTTTGTAGTTGTTTGCTGTTTTAAACTTAAATAAAAACACTTAATCAACTTACAACAATGAAATAATGCTTAATATTTCAACAGCTTCTTTCAGTAGTTTTACAGGTACAAATGAATTTATAAGAAATATCAGACGCTGTATACAGTACAATACAAAGGGTTTATGTAGGCATAGAAGTTTTTTGTATTTGATGCAACTCATTGTTGTGATTTCAAAGTAAAGATTTAAGTAAAGGTATGTAAGGAAGAGCAATATATAAGAAACACATCGCTTTTAACTACATTTGGATGCATTTACATTTAAAAACAGTTTAAGCAAATGTTCAAAATTTAACTCTCGTAAGATTGACCAATGGGGTGTCCGTGGCCGAGTGGTTAAGGTCGTTGACTTCAAACCACTTTCCCCTCACCGCTGTGGGTTCGAATCCCGACAGGGACTTTGGATTCTTTCATGTGAGGAAGCTATCCAGCTAGCTTACGGAACGTCGGTGGTTCTACTCAGGTGCCTGTTCGTGCCTGAAATAATGCACGGAAGGGCACCTGAGGTCTTCCTCCATCAGTAAAGCTGGAACGTCGCGATATGACCTATACTGTGTCAGAAATGTAAAAACTACATAATGTTAAGGAAATACGATTCTTGTCCAAAGAAAATAATTTAAAAAGTATTTAGAGCTGTTCTCGAATGTACTTCTTCTTTCTCGTTAGTCAGAAAAAATCTAAGCTAAGTAAATTAATGTTGGCAATAAGCATACTTCAGTTCAAAACAACCGCTGACACATGTTTTTTGATTGTCCAGCTTGATCAGCTAACGTGGACAAAATTGTTGCAATATTTATAAAAATAAAACAACAACGTAATAAATTACATATTCGAAAGTTGTTGTTTCTCTGACACATTGTTTGTTTGCTTCATTTTACGCCTTTTCCCAGCAGTATTTCAGTCATATTTCCTAACCATCGTTCCTGGAGAGTCACACCAGTACTAGACTACCTTCCTCCGTGTTTAACTACCAAAGCATCTCCCGGGGTTCGAACCCACGCCAGAGAGGTAACTGGATTATCTACCACGGTGGCGGTCTCTGACACATTGAAATGCATAAATAAGATTAACATTCTTATTTCATGAGATAATTACCATAGTGTTTTGATGAAAAATATAGACACAACGTGAAAACATATTTTTATGTCATATGATAATGGTGACAGTGATCATGACGATTTGAAGCATGATAAAAAATAGCATAATGGGAAGATGGAAATGATTATACACAATCATGTATTGTTAAAATTTATGTTAACAATGAAGAGCATAGGTTTTAGATAAACACAATAACAGTTGAAATAATACAACAGAACAATGATTAAAAACGTGATGAGTATTACTCATAAACAGCTTTAACATTGTCACAAAAATAATTTGTAAGATGATGATAATATAGAGCTATTCATAGTGACAAGAAACCCAAGACAACATGAACAATAAACACTGTTGTTTTTAACATGATTTGTTTTATAAAATGAAGAGAAATTAAGAGAACATGACATGATTAATGTAATCATCATACATTTATTCCCTGCGGTCTGGAGACCGCAGGGTATTGGTACGCGTTTAACTTTTGAGGCATGGAGGAGCACGTGACCTGTTTTCGGTACATGGAGGAGCATGTGATCTGTAAACCGTATATGATTGGTTAATTGACCTTTTCGAAAACCCAGCTAAATACCGTTTGCCGTTACGTTACGGATTTACCTGTAGGGAATTAGTCCGAATTATTCCTAATTGAGAACAAAAATCTATTACGTGATATTTCTAATTTTCTGCCATAATAAATAGAGTTATTTTCTGCATAAACTTGTGTGTTTACTTTATTTATTTTTTGCTCGGAATTATTCATAAAATGGTAGGCCTGTTTAATCATTTTCTTAAAAAGAAATAATTAATAATTGTTTTATGTTCGACCTTCTCCGGTCTACAACGGTCACATGCAGTTTCCAAAGACCTTCTTCTATATTGTTCGATTATTGTCAACTATATTCCTGTTACAAACGTTTATTTATCCCCCCCCCCAAACAATGTTGAAAATAGTTAAATGAAATATCTTTATATCATTAAAATGTTCACCGCAGGAAACCATTTTACTTGTATATAATCTGGCATTACTTTTGTTCATTATATAGAGTCACCCCATGACAATACCAACATAATGCGTTTGTGACCAGCATGGATCCAGACCTGCCTAAATTATATTTTGGGTTGAGATAACATATTACTTGCAGCTTTATATGATGTAACCATATCAACACCAATAAAGTTTTGAGACAACCATAAAGACCGGCAGGTAAACAACAAAATGTAGCAGATTTATTACTGTTCTAAGTTGAGCATATTAATAAAAATATTATTCGAAATGTATCGGTACGGAGAGTAGTGTCTCAATATCAATATGTTTCTTTGTAACCATATTCCCAAGTTAAAAGGTCTATATTGCAAAGTATTATAAAAATTATAATGATAAACCAAGTGTGTTTACATTCTTAGATATGATTCAATCAGGATATAGAACTGGGCTTTTTAAATAAGCATTATACTGTAAAAATGTATTATCTAAGACACACTCAAATGAGAGTCAGAAAAAAAATCTTAAAAAAAACGCTAAAAAAATTTAGTATGATTATAATAATGTACGTTTTATGCTGCTATTGTTTTAAGTCAACAATACTGTATTACTAAATCTTTGTTCAGAATGATAAAATATAGTTTTATATTATTCACGTTCAAGACTTATATAAACTCTCGAATGATTATGTGATTTATGTTTATATATGTGTGTATGTAATTAACAATAATGTACTTTGTATACGTCGAAATAAACTTTATTTTCTGCTGAATATTAAAGATATACTATGCTCAAATTTGATATTAGAAAATATTGTTAATTGCTAAACAGTCCCTTTGTACATAAAAATAAACATGTTTTGACTCCAAACAAAGTAAATATGTTAAAAATTCAACACACTATAGGTAGTCACAATAATATTATATAGTGTTGTTAAAAAAACTGGCAGTTTTTTTTTTGTTGTTGTTTGTTTATTTTTTTTTCCCAGAAAATACCAACTTTACTTGATCTGTAATTGGGAACGCAGCTTCCCATATATAGTTTATACATTCTGCTATTCAAATTATGCATAATCAGTAAGAAATTCATAGATTTAAACAAATTTCTGTTATTAAAATATTTTTCTCAAGGATGAGCATAGGATATCTTTAACCTGCGTCACGTAATAATGTATTTTGCACGTTATAAAGTTTGTGGTCATATCGTAAAACTATAATGATCAATGAACGCCACGCGTTAATTGTTGAAATGTAATATAAAGAAATACGTTGTGATAATGATATAATGTCAAAGACAAAGGGACATAATGTGATGATTTTTCTTCATCTGATAATAATTGACAGATTTGTATCTAAATACAGGGGCTTTGTGAGTCTTTCAAATGTCATTTATTTATTCTAACATTATTTCCAGAACGGTAACAAAATTTTTTTCTGACATCTCAATCCTGCATTAATCTCTTTTGTTTTCAGAATATTGTAATATAGTCTGTCTTTGAACTGCGAAAGTTTAGTTATCAGAATTTGGATGTATAGTCTGTTGTCTCCATCACTAGCCCTTCACCTAAGCCTGAATCCGTGTCTTTTTTATCGTCAGTTTCAATTGTACCATTGTCCGGTTTATTGTCATTCACAACATTTCCATCCCCAAAAAGGAAATAATTTACATTTGTAAGTCCATTTTCTACTGCAGAAACGCCATTCCTACCTTCATCCGCAACTTCACATTCGAATTCGGTTTCGAGCGCGTTTGGCACAAATGAACCAATAGTTTCACATCTCGCGACGAGTGCAACGCGACTCTCACGTGCGCGTAATGTAGACCTTTTCTTATATTCGGATTCAAAGTCAGCTGATGCATTTGGTGAATTTCTATTGGCTACACAATTTATCAGATCTTTAAATCCCTTTCGGAAGTTTTCGTTCAAGCCGGCGTAGATTACTGGATTTACAGCGGCATTGGTGTACAGGAGCAGGACGGCCCCAAAGTCTAGCGTTGAGTACCAGTCAGGCAGCTTAAAGAGCAAATAAATAACAAACTATTACCGTCACTTTTATTCCCATTTAAATAAAAAGGTTCAAACAAAGTATCGTTAAATTCTGTTTCTACTGCCACGTGTGACGTACTTCTGATTTTCTTAACTTATTCGACCTACTAGTAGTTCAGTTAAAATGGCCTAATGACTCCTTTAATAATTTTGACAGAAATAGTATAAAAGCACGTGTTTTATGCGAATCAATGTAAGATATGTATTTCTTAATAAATTACATAACATAGGAAAATGACATCCACTTAGGACCTTTGCATTAATATAATGTTAGATTAGATTAGATTATATTACGGGTTATGTATAATATTTATTGAACTCGACATATGCTTGTTTTATTTGATTTAACCCGTTCAGCAATTTCAATAAGTAGTACGCCTCATCCAATATCCTCTTTTAAAATTAATTTGGTAGTTAATTCTGTTACTATTTTGTAACAGTATCTACAAAACTAGTTCACGGTTGCAAGTATGTACAATAAGATTCGGAAGAAGGAAGGATAATTGTTTAACTCTACAAATATGTTGCTCTCCTTAAGGCGTACATCTCCATAAAATAATATAGATTCGAGTTCCAGGAATGTACTGTTTAAGCGTACAGACGTACGGAAGGTAAATGTTTTTTTTTTAGCTGCCTGCTTATGTGAGTGATACTGTATGAAGCTGTATTGAAGTCAATTTTATATAAAAAAATTATGACTTCAACAGTGATTTAAAAAAAAGCCATTAACTAGTGCATTCAAACATAAATTAAGATAAAAAAATTAATCATATCAAACGAACCGTATATCCCTGTGGTGTTGATGTGAACAGGAAGTATATTCGAATCGTCTGAAACGGTACAGCGCACACAATAAATGCAATCAGCACTGAAAACAGCATTAGCACTACCTAAAATAAATATAATCGTATTCAGTTGAGCCGCGTCATGACAAAACCAACATAATGGGTTTGCGACCAGCATGGATCCAGGACCAGCCTGCGCATCCGCTTCAGTCTGATCAGGATCCATGCTGTTCGCTTACAGACCCTATGACAAGTAAAGAAATTGATAGCAGAACAGCAATGGAATCCTGATCAGACTTCGCGGATGCGCAGGCTGGTCTGGATCCATGCTGGTCGCAAACGCAATTATGTTGGTTTTGTCATGACGCGGCTCATTTATAAATATATAGCGCAGTCAATAAGAGTATATATATATTAACAGTAACAGTCGTAAAGTATATATGCTGACAGGCACTTACATAACGCTTGTATTGTACTTGTTCAAATGGTATTATTTGTACTTTTGCAAGGCATTCGCATTTAAAAAAATACTGCTTTAAGTACAATGCATTTCACGGCCTTTTTCATCAGAAACGACATTACAGTGCGGTAATTTTTGTGCAAGAAAACCATTATTTACACAATGCTTATTATCATTATTTTAGCTTTTTATCATGTATACTTATGTTGTTTTTTTTTTAAATCGTTCATAATCAGAGGAAAGTTACATAAATGTTATCATACCCTTCCGTTTTATTTCTTTCTTTGGTTGAATTATTGAAGCCCAAAAGCTTCCCAACAATTTTTGTGTTTTCGGAGTTTCCCGACAATTCAGGTAAAAGCAAACAGTCCATAACAAACCCATAGGGGTCCAGGTCAAAAACGCCAAAAAATTAATCCAAAGTCAAAATTTCTTTTGATGTGAACCCGAATTTCGCAATTCCATCAGCTAAACCCCCTTTCCGGCCAAATATGTACAAACATTTCTTTTCGGTCTACCATTTTCGTTCCCATCTATTGAAACACAAATAACAAAGGGGTCCTTTCCCACTAAGCAAAAACCAAACCAAGGACAACATATACTGGAAATTTGCGACGTGTAACATTGACTTCTTGGGGAAAATGAATGGCAAAAAGCGATCCCCACCATCACTAAGATTTAACTACTTGCGCAACTTGCTTGACTGAAATAATGAAATAAATTGTGAAACTGAATAAAATTATAATAATTCTGAACATCAAAAATTTAATTTTTTCACAAAAAATAGAAAAAAGCAATCAGTCTTATATTATAGTGTTATATTACCTTAATTTCTAAGGCAAAAGATTTTTATTGGACAATCACATTGTTTTCTTGAATGAAATGGTCACATAGACAAACACTTGTTAAATTGATATTATCATTCATCCAAATGACCCTCGAAAATTTATATAAATGTTGTTTGGAACGTTACGCGTAATTTCAATTTTTTTAAAAGTTACTTCATGTTTTAAAAGAGTGGGGACGACAGTATTTGCATAATTTACGTGTTATTATTGTTCCTTAAGGTAGAAACGCGACATCTTTGCGAACTTTCGAGGAGCGTCTTGAAAATTGGCATGCAAAAAATTGACCATCTTTCTGATTGGAAATTTCGTTGATTTTTTTTTTCAATAGTTTCAGCCCAATTTTTTGTACACAATGACGTCAAAGTTTGAGCCATCAAAGCCCCGTTTTTGAACATGGCGTCGTTGCGTATCTTGGCAACTGTTACGGGTATTTCAAACGCCATTCGGCGGACAAAATATCTTAAATCCTAAGCTTCGACGGAATATTTTTTCCTTTAAGCAGATACTAAAATTTTTGTTTTCCGCCTAAAATTGTTTGAGAAATGGAAAGAAAATTGTCCCAATATTTTGGTGTAAAATTTGACTTCAGTTTAGCCGCAATTTTCGGCTTTTAAAGCGGCTTATTAAAAAATTCCTGAAATAAATTTTTGTTTTTTTTCTTAAAACGTCCTTTAAAATGTATACTTAGTCAAAAATAACTAAAAAAAATTAGGGGGTCACCGACTCAATTTTTTTGTACACGTTGATTTTATTTCCC